TTCTTCTGGAAAACCAAGCGGCCACCCAGGCGCTCGACCGAGGAAGATCTAACTCCTCGCAGTCAGTGGTGGACAAGTTTTCATCGCTGAGACACAATAAGCGTGTGAAAATACGCTGGATACCCGGGCATGTGGGGATTCAAGGCAACGAAGAGGCCGATAAGCTGGCCAAATCAGCCTTGGGAGCTCCCAGTAACCGGTCACTAGCCTAAGTTGCGCCCAGCGGAGAAGATCAACATCTAACCTTTGCGGCATTAGGGAGGTGGGTTAAACTGCGCGGCTAAGAGCTCATGGAATAGTGATGGTAGAAGTATCGACCGAAACGATACAAAGATCTGGACCTATTCATACGCTGCAAAGGACCACCGGAACTGGCTCTACCGAGATTGGTGTACCATCGTCTTATTGCGGTAAGAACGGGCCACGGGGACTACGCCGACTACCATCGACGTTTCAACCCCGAACATAAAGATCTGAAATGCTTTTGCGGCCGAGAGAAAAGGCCCTGGCATTTTTCAGAGTGCCGACCTGCTTTGCTACGTTAGAGAATCTATGAGAAAATGACCCCATCTGGGGCCAAGGAAATGATAGGAGAGAAGGGATGGCAGAAGTTCATTCAATAATTAACTACAAGCAGATGTTACAGTCTACCGAAGAATGAACCGGATGGGAGGTGACCACGCTGAGATTGATTCTGACCCGAAAGGAGATGGGTATGGAAGATAGGGATGCGGCGCAGGGCACCGAAACTCAGACATGTACTGTTCATTTTTTTCATTCTTTTCTTTTGTCGCTTCTAGCTCTACTGCCGGTCATGTAGGTAGCAATGAGCTTTCAAAGCCCATCTACCCGTGTCACGTCTAAATATATGTTAGGTTCTTCCTGTCACGTAAAAGATTTCAAATTCAAACAAGTCTCATCTAACGTTACAACATGACATCCCATTCGCCCCGACAACTTCTGGTAGTTTGCATAAATTGAGTAGACCAACACAAAACCTTACGGTTATTTTGTGAGCTGGCGTGTTGTTAAAAAAAAACACAACAAATATACGTCCTGAGACCCGGGAAAGACGAATTCTTCACCTTCCAGTGGTGCCGGTGTAATCACTCAATATGCTCTGCCTATCTGAGGTAACAAAGAAGAATCGCATCCGAATCAAAGTCGAAAGCAACTACAAGCATATCTAAAATCAATAACTTCTCGTAAATTTCGGACCTATCTTTCTCGTGCGAGTCCTTCAACCTGCTCATACCACAAACCAAGTCGCCTCAACTTTTGATGATTTCATTCCCTCAATTGCAATCGGGAATTTTCCTCATCAAAAATCAGCCGTTTCCCACTACAAAGTTACGATGTAATACATACCCGCGAGGAGGAAGCTGAGCCATAATATACAAAGCTCGGGTCCTGGTCTATGGGGGACCTTTGCTCTAATGGGGTTTCATATCTTAAGGGAGGAGAGTCAGCTGGGATGTAGGACGTGGGACGAACGAGTGAAGAGTTCACAAATGGGCATGCTGGGACGCACATTTTTCGAGTATTTTCGACTTAAGAGTGTCTATGTGCGCAGAGGCAAAGATTTAGGATAGTGCTACCGACACTCTAAAAACTGGCAACGATGGAAGGTGTTTTGGTCCGCCTCCTGGTCGTCATCTCCCCGAATTAAAGTTTGGGTAGCCTGGACACCTACTTCGCTTGAGAAAGGGAGGACTATGGGGCCATATCTCGCGCGGCGGCTATATACAAGATGACAAAGGTATGATAGGGTAGCCAAAGGGTTTTCCTGTCTTTATCTTTGGTGGATATTAACGGTTGAGGGAAGGGTGAAAGTCCCTAGCACACAGGTCTCGAGTGGTATTAGCGAACGCACCCACTACATGAGTAGTCCAAATGTCAAACTGAGTTATCGTTGTATCTAGTTGTCGGAGAAGCTAGTCTTCTCTGTGTCATGCTCTTTGAGTATAGGGCTTATTCCCGTCATGAATAAACACCCACTTATTCATCCAACACCTAATTCAGATTTTCAGGATACATGTTTGCTGCTGGCTAACGTCTTAGCATGGTCTAATTAATATCATAAATTACGAAAACCAATGACTATTTTCTTGTATCAGATTTCAATGGCGTGTTCAGCTATCTAGCTACGACACAATATCAGAGAAAAAGTATTTAATAGATGACTCAATTCAAAAGAAGAGTACTCATGCCTACTTGTGGAGGGATATATCTAAGATGAGCACCTCGCCGGAAATTCCCTGGATTGCAGACTCTCCTGAGGGTGCCATAGCCTTTAATAAATGGTCTGGTAATACCCGCTATTTCACAGAAATTCAACAATGACAATAGCTAGTTCTCTTAGCTTTTAGTCCATGAACTATATTCGCTAATGCTCAGATTGAAAGACTGTTGGTCTAGGTGATGGATAACTTTCCTTTTAATAAAGGCAACTATCTTCTCTGCTGTATTGGAAAATAAATGTCTCAGCGGAGGAGCACTTTTAATTTATTTCTATAGTCCTAGGTGCATGGCAGGCGGGCCTTGGCCCATTTATTACATATCGGGCTTATTTGAAAGCGTCGGCACGTGGGATAGTCTATGTAGGCTAAGCTGGACAACAGGAGACCTTACAGTTGTTTGTTTGTTTGTTTTATTGTTTTTGTCCTAAGCTTATGCTATTTTTCCACAATGGGTCAAAGACAGGTGGAGCCGGCAAGGATCACTGCGTACAGGCCCAACTCATTCCAACCGCGGGAACCTCAAAAAATTATGAAGTTAACAACAAAACCGTAATCAAAAACTAAAATCAAAACTAAAAGCCAAAGACTAAAATCAAATTTAGAAGATTTTTTCATATGGTCCAGATCCCGCGCTTCTCGCCCGTTCCTTTTCCTGTCACATCTTCCAAGTGACAATTTCTGATCTTCGCTGAGAGCAGAAGATGAGCTAGCAGGCACCCTATATCCATCTGGTGTCCTACTGTTAGTGTGTTGAAGCCTCGACGACTTCACTGAGGCTGGCCATAACCTTAAACCTCCTCTTCGGGTCCCAGAATCCCAAAACCCGATCAGTCCGACATGTAGACGTCGTTCTTTGAGCTTTGCATCGCCTGAATGGCTATTTCGGCTGTAGCTTTGATTCGAGCATAATCGTCGTGATTTTTCTGCTCGGCTTTGCGAATTAACGCAAGCTGCTCTTTTTCACCGGGCCGAACTTACTGGGTCTGGCTTTGCAGAACCGTGAGTCCGATCGATGAGGTCCACCACAGTTTCGGCACCGTGTGGGGGCTTTGCACTCTGTTTCCGAGTGCATTTTTGATCCGGAGTTCCAGCAAGCCGGAACGCGGGAGCAACCGCGAGAGGCATAGAAGCCCAAACAGCGTTTGCACTGTTCAATTGATCGACGAGGCTTATGGATGGTAGCCATACCAGAATCGTCGAAGAGGCGGAAGCCTGCACGAGGGGCGGCTTCCCGGTCGAAAATGGCATGCCAGTTTCGGTGCGGTGCCCCAGGTCGACATGTATCATGAGGTCGGACCTGGATTGGTCTCACGCCGGTCGTAAGGGTGATCTTGGCGAAGACCAACTCAGCATCGATCGCCCTGGGGCCGCTCTCTGTAATTATACTTACAGGTTAGTTCGGTATCTGTAAGGCTACAAGATCTGAAGATGCCTCGAGTTTGGCGTTTTCACTCCCTAGCTTCGAAGAGCCATCTAGCATCTCTTGTCGTGTTTTTTCGTCCTTTGCTAGCATAGCAAAGCCGGTCCTCACTCGATGAAGTGAGGTTATTTTGTCGTGAAAGAAAAGGAATCTCATCTCCAATTTGCTTCTCACGCAACTTGTGGACAGTTTTCGCCACGGGTGGTCCTTTTCAAGGCGAAGGAACAGTCGCTTGTCGACTTTCGCCTTGGGGATTTCTTTTTGTTGGGCTTTGGCCGCAGGTCGCGGCATAGCCTTGGCAGTAGGGACTGCTTTTTGTCGCAGTCCGTGTCTGGCCACCGTGGCCCAGGTGCTTTTGACGGGCAGAGCTGGGACGGTGTATATTGTTTGGCTCCTGGCGTCGGGAGCCCTTGGGAGAGGGTTCGTCGGGCGAGGAGGGAGGACGGGTAGCGTAGTGGCCGGGCCCGTGGCCATGTATTGCGCAATGGAGGCACGTAGGTAGACTCTCATGGAGTCTACGAATTGTCTATTTGACCCGTTAGTCAAAGGGAGGAGGGTGGCTTCGACGCCAGAGATGGCGGCGGAGAAGAGGGCCAGATTTGCCGCTATTTCGGCGGCGCGTCGTTGTTCAGCTTCGACTATTGGTCGTAGCTCGAGAGGACACTCTGCTTTCGTGGCAGCTTTTGGCAGCGACTTTGATGTTGACGCTGCTATAGGTGCAGCGTTTTCCGACGGTTTTGACACGATCGGAGGTGGTTTGGATGATTCTCCAATCCCGTGAGAGACGGAGACTCTTTGGGAAATTTCCTCAACAATTTCGACTGACCCGATCATGTCAGTATCGGGTTCAGTGACGGCGGGGAGGGCTTTTTCCTTCCCTTTGATTGAGGCCTTGCTCATATCCGCGCATTTCGAAGACTGGGCAAGGCCAGGTACTTGTTCGAGAGCCCTCGAGTGGACTCTCGTGCTGTCCAACTTGGCGTTGGGTCGCTTTTTTCGAACAGGTGGCATGGTGAAAATGCAAGTGTGAAAATGCCAGTGACTCGATCACAATTATTTGATAGAATGCGACGAGCGCGAGAGGGAGCGAGAGGGGGAAAAGGTGAAGATTCGAAAATTCGAATTTCAAAAAATTGGTTGTGCGGAGGCACGACGTTAAAAAAAAGTTAAATACAAAAGAAAGACAAGCACCTTATCCATACGCCATTCACCTACAATCTGAAAACAACTAAAGCAGCTTACTGTCTGTATAGTTCTGTAAATATATATCAAATAGAGCCCTGAACAAGGATAACTCAATCCATTTAATAATATGTACTCTCAAAGCCTTCATTATTTTGTTATGTCGGTCTTTTTTCTAAAGTCACTGCCGCTCGTTCCAAGAATTCATTGAATTTTTTAACGTGCCTTAATATACCTCCAGAGCCACTCTTCGTGCTGACTTCTTGAGCCAATTTTTTGAGCATGAATTCAATACTTCGAATCTCAGGTTTTTTATCAGTAGTTTTAGAAATATTTCCTCTTGCTATATCTGTGGCAAGCTCAACTTTGTGTAAAGTATTGTTAAGAGCATCTTTCCGCTGGGTATCATGTTAGTAAATTTAGTCCCGGTATGGCAATACTTATAATACCATATCTTCATCTCTCAACTTTTCATGATTTATTCTCACTTCATCCATACGTAGAGCAATTTGGTCACGTTCTGCTCGCATGCGAAGAAGTTCCTCTCTGAGATAAAGTCTTTTCTTCTTTTCGTCTCGAAGACGACTCTCAAGCGAATAGGAGTTATCAAGATCACATGTCTATAAAATTAGTTGAGCTACTCATCCAAATACTTATAAGGCTTACATATTCAAGCAATCGCGTTTGTAATTCTTGTCCATATGCTTCTACTGCTCGCACTTTGATGTCACAATCTTTGCGAGATTTTTCACTTTTGCAAAGATTACATTGCTCTTTCAGCCGAGATAGTTTTGATTCAACTACTTCCTGACAAACTTGATCCAAGACATCAATAAAATTAATACTGATACGAGTCTTATATCGCATGTCTTCTTTTAGAAATTTGGAATTGGTAAAATCAGTCTCGTTATTTTTCGGTGCTGATAATCGATGTACAGTGACTGGAATTGAATCTCTAGACCGCAGTTTGCTAGGGGCAGCTCTTTTAGACGTATGAGAGTTTAAATTCGTTTTAAGAGTCCCTGATTGTTGCGTACGTGTGGTAATTGGCTTGTCCTGCTTTTTGCGTTTCTCATTATTATGTACCATCTGAGGCATATCCAAGTCAGGAGAGTATTCTCGGGGCCTTCTGGTTTGTTCTTGGTTATTTATCACACCTTGATTACTATTTAATGATCTATCGGGTTCTTGTGGATTTATTTCATCCATTGACGACTTATTTGATTCTAAGGTATTTTCTACGGCGACTTGTCTATTTCTGTATGAGATTTCAGGAGAAAGCTCATCAAGCTCACATTCTTCAATTTCATTATTTTTATTAATGTTGATATTATCATTATCTTTCAAAACGCCCCGATTATCTTCTCCAACCTGACTATTTTTGTTTCTGTTATCTCGCACAAATAGAGATGGGGATCGCTCTCTAATTTCTGTATCTATGAAAGCTTTCTTGCGTTTTTTCTTCTTTGATGCCAGCCTGTGATTGATGGGTTGTGAGATAACACCGCTCTGAGCCTCATCTGGTCGTGAGATTGTAGGACTTCTCTCTTCTAAACGAATCCTCTGGCCACTACCGGGAGCGCCCACAGGACTTTCACCAACTTCTTCGAGTATCTGTAATTTCCTACCTGGTCTCTGTGGACTCTGTTTAGTGTAAGGATGTGAGTATTCTGTTACCTTGATAGAGTCATTTTCAACAGAAACATTAGAAATATCCGTAATGTTAACTCTAGTAGATAACTCATCATCAGAAAAGGTTGTTAGATCTTTTTTATTCTTTTTTGGAGATAAACTAGTATTAGGAGGAGAAGTTGATTCTGTTGAATCTTTGTCTAATCTCCTTCTCTTTTTAGAAGTGTTAGCATTAGCTGATGAAGCTGTTGAGAGAGCCTGTTTTGACGAGGGTTTTGATCCATTTTTTACGTTAGTAGGGAACGATCGATTTTCTGGTGTTTTATGGGTGTAAACAGGTTTTTCCAATTCTAGTCGCGAAGACAAATGCGATTGCACTGGAGGTTGTTGGTTTACGGTAGGAATTTGTACCTCGGAGGTGACTGGAATTTTGAGACCAAAGTCTACTATTCCAATTTCTCGTCTCCTAGAAGTAGGTTTGTTAATTGTGTGTCGTCGATAGATTCGATGCTACACTTACTGGGCACCGCGCAAGCGCTGTTGTATCCGTTCATCGCGAGCTAAAACCATCAGCATCAATGGATTGTTTCAAAAACTATCATTCCGAACTGACAGGCCATAATTTATCATTTGACTGTAAATAGGCTGTGATTATATCAAAGATTTCGCAACCACAATTCTAGGGCGCAAAATCAGAGACTACAGAAAAAATGAAAGGATGATACAGATGATTACATCTGCTGATCGATTTTAACAGTTGTGAGACGCCCCGAGAGGTCAATTCGTGGAAATTCGTATGACACCTGTCTCGCATGGCCTCTGAATTAATCTCCCACGATCTCTCTTGTGGAATTTAAAATTTTGGGCCTGAAGATAGATAACATAAACAGGATAGGGATGAGAGCGCTATTCTTCAACAGAATTATTACATGATTTCCTATCTCCCAAAAACCAGAGTACTAATGAAGAACAACAACCATATTTCCTGCAGTACTAGAAAGAAAAATAAAACCGCGACAAAAATCTAGCTGTAGCTAGCACACGAGACAGCGATCCGTGTAATCACGACATTTTTTAATAATTGCAACCAAAGACTTTATTCTAACTACGACCTTGTTCCTTCTACTAGTATATATATACATGATACAACTTCTATTCAACAACTATTTTTTTCTTTGGCTAGACTAATAGCCTCAACTGGTTTCCACCTGTACACTAGTGACGCCCTGGTTTCTGAGGCAAAGTTGGAACAATGGCACAAGAATTATCACAGGCAGCATAATGTGATGTTAACAAAATATGTAAAAATTGATAAGAGGGGTCTAAATAATGAAATAATCTGTCTATGAAGAAAGTTATTTGGTGGTTAAACATTGGGAGCACCCAGAATCTAATTGCGAAAGCACTAGTGACGATTATTAAACAGCTCCCGAGTATTAACTCAAAAATGTGGATTAAGATATGTAATCTAGCTCAACAAGGCCTTTGTGCGAATACACTTACTGTAGCTACACGCAGTTATTTATCCGGAGAAAGCTTGAAGTGCAAGGAGCAAACTAGCAATAATTACATAATTTAAAATGAGCCGAGCATTGATTATCTACATGCATTATCCTTTACAATTCAGGAAGTTAAATATTCTTCCAAATACAAGTTCACCTAAATTTCGCAATGCTGAAAATGTCAGCCCACAAATTGAAGATTTAAGACTCTCTACTAGACTGAATTTTTACTCACACCAAAATTGATTCCGACTAGAGCCCTGTTAACTCTATTAGTAAGTCCTAAGACATCTTTATTTCAATCACTACTATTCTTGGCAATTCAGTCTTCGGCCTCAGACGGCCTCCTAGTAAGCGCTAAGGATGATCTGAATACATACAGGTGGAGACGAACTGTAGCATACATAAATGGGTAATAGAGCTTTGGGCAGGACTTGAAAAAAACCGGGACGGATAGTCTCAATATAGCTCAGGATTAATACAATCCCGAAAGGAGGACGGTGCCGATTTTTGGGAAAGATCTTTCATAGTGAAGAGCATAGAGCGCTCCTCAACATCATCCGCGAGAGCTCAGGCGTCACAACAAAGACAGTTATGATAGGGCCGCAGTGGTATATTAATTGGTCCGATTTTCTAAGTAGATTCTGGATAGCATAGTCAACTATACATTTGAGACAGGAGTTAGCTCGTTCGAATCAAGCAAGGCTCGTACACATTTATCACAGTACTAGTGTGTATTGATGACGAAGGCATGCCTGGATGAAGAAAGGTCCTAAAACTTTCTTTTGTTAGACACTTATGGAAGAGAATCGACAGTTCTGTGTCAACGAGCAAACCATACAATGGTGTTTGCGAATGAAATACAGGGTACAGGCGTCTCCGAAACTAAGAGATCCTTCAAGCTCTAATACAAATCACTTTTCAAGTGTCATAGCTAGATTGCTGAATAATGTGAAATGTGAAATGATCCAAAAAAAGAAAATCAAACTCCATCTGAAGAATCTTAATGGCCTAAATTGAACCCACAAAAGCTAGAAGGCCTTCTTTTCCTAATACATCGATAGCATTCTAAACTTCCCAAGATATTCCAAGGAATTTAGGTTTCTCTGACGTTTTAACACGATCTTTCATCCGCTCAGAAGCTCAGATTATGAGTGTTTTTAAAAGAGTCCCAAATCTTATGAGCAAGTTTGGAAGCTATCATGATTCAGAGTAGAGATTATACGGAAGAAAATCTTTTACAGGAGTTTCGAGTTGAAGTATTCATAAAAATATGTAATTATCTGTCCCTTTTATTCTTCATGCCTTCCCTCCATTATATAACACCTAGCGTACATAAATCTTATGTATAATGAGGGAAGATAAAATCTAGGTATGTCTCTAGAACTACAAAGCACAATCTAAGCACGCTGTAGCCTAGCTAACATACAAAGCGAGCCTATACCAGTTCAACATGTCCGTTACGAAGAAGGCCAGTATTTTCCAGCCTAAAATTTGGCAAAACGCCAAACTTTTTGGTTACCAGCTTGGCATATTATTCTAACAATAATGCATGATCAAATTTGATGAATATAATTTAAAAGAACCACGAGAAGATAAATGAGTAATACGGTTGTCATGGGGGTCTCTCCTTGGCTAATAAGGTGGCTAAAATGAGGGCAAGACTGAACACCTGTACGCGGTGCCCTCTACGAACCTGGGAGTGAAATATTCTCCCAGAGCCAAGTTCAGTCAAATGTCGCAATATCAAAGAAGTTGGCCTACGAGGCAATGATTCAAATTACTACACCACGTCGTTTTTTCGCTCCCAACGAGTTTGACTCCAACCCAAGTCTCATCGAGTCTACAAGTATGACCAAGTACGTTCTCATCCCAATGACCACACCTCTCGTCGACCTTCCCTGGCCTCAGCTGGTCGCCAAATACACGCCCATGCCGATATTTACACCCAACGGAGGAAGCAAAGTGTGGCGCACAAATGTGGAAGACAGTTCTTTGGGATGGATGTGAGATGGATCAAGACAAGTTGACAAGATGGCGCAAAGGATAGATAAAACCCCGAAGGGGATGAAATTCTGAATATTGGCAAGCATTTCACGAATTGAGCTTTTTGCGAGCCATGACCTCGCTTGCGAGAGTGCAATTGACACTATAAAGACAAGTCAACGCTGAAAGGTGTTGCTGTCTGCCTCCTGGTGGTGTTCTCTGGTATAGTTTGAGTAGCCTGGGCACCTACTCCACTTGGGAAGGAGACATCTTAGACCATATTTCGCGTGGAGAAAAGTTAATGGATAATGGAGGCATATCTGGATAACTTAGGGTTTTTAAGACGTTCCCCTGGGTGGGTATTCACGGATGAGGTTTGACTTGAGGTGAAGAAAAGGCTGCCATAATATTGCAGTGATACTTGTGAATGGGATCCAAGGCATAAGTGCACTTCCTTTATATTGAGTTATCTTTTCTGTACTTTTTCTCCGATATTGTTTCATAGCTAGATAGCGGCATACACAACTAAAATCCGATGCAAAAAAAACTCCCCTACAAACTTGAAAACGTGGCCACGGGGTATGTATGTATGTATTCTAGTCGTATTAGGCTTGCGTCCTACACCCAGGAAGCGTAATACGGGTATATGATCCATGCGGACTCACTAATACCTACATAAAGGGCTTTTCTTGCCAGAGAATCTTTAAAAAAAATTGACAGATGATAAAAATAAAAATAGTGGCGTCTGAACAAATCTGCCCTGCGCCTTGTCCTAATTTTCCCAGCAGCTATCCAAAAGGAAAACATTTGAGATCTCTGGGAGTGCCTAGGCTTTCCGGTATATATTTTGTGCACCATAACATTTGGATATAGTCACGAATTCAAAGAATTTATCCCATCCATTTTGTGCCAGCATCTCGCTCGCTCTCAGGGAGGGGAGGGTTCCCGTTTAATACTTTTCCAACGCTGTAAAGCTGGTCGGCATTCTGCAAAGTGCCACGGGCGTTTTTATTGTCCACATTTATACTTGCTGACAACATCTTCACGCTTGAATCTTTCGTGATATTTTACGAAGTCACCGTGTCCTGTCCTAGCCGCAATCAATCTGTGGTACGTCCATCTCGGAAGAGCAAGTTCTGGAGGTCGCTTGCGTGTCATCTTCAGGTTTAAGTCCACGTAGTATCGATGCGCATGTTTCTGCCACCATGATGCCACGAGCTCATCCCCACGTTCCCTCAGAAACCTGTTGAGTGATACAAACGTAAATCTTATTCTTCGATGTGCTTCTGTAGAGGGCGTTGTATTGGTTCTTTCGTCCGGAAGGTCCCTCAATGCTGTTTTGGCAAGCTTGTCTGCCCTCTCATTCCCTACAATCCCTGAGTGTCCCGGGATCCATCGAACCTTTACTGACTGGTGGTTTCGACAGTCAGAGACAAACTTGTCAACTATTCCTTGGAAGGATCTCGACCTTCCGCTGCGCAAAGACTGGATAGCTTCTGAGCTGTCTAGGAGTACCTTGATTAGTTTGCTGCCGGCTACCAGTATTGCTGCTTCAAGTGCTCTCTGGGCTCCTAAAATCTCTGCGTCGTAGGCCTCTGCCCCAAGCAATGGTCCTGCTTCGCTTCCAATCATTTGCCCTCCTCTGAATATAGTGTATCCCCATGCAGATTTTGCCAAGCCATAAGACGAGCCATCTGGGTACGCACATACGGTGTCTGCTGACAAATTCTCTATCCAAATTTTGGCCTGGGCAGCTTCGAACTGCTTGTCAAGTTTTGTTCATTGGCTATTTGGTTCTATTTTTGGGAAGAATAATTTTCCAGACTCCACAGCACCCGGCACAATTCTGAGGCTAGTCTGCAATTGCGTGAGGTATCGCTCTGGGTTCTTAAACGAACGGCTTTTCTGTCCTGCGTGGAGTCCTAGGCGGTCTATAGTTTCCTTAAGTCCCTCTTGAGATCTATTCAACAGTGGGTGCCAGGTATCCATTCGCTGAATTCACGCCACGGCTCTCAATTGCCTTCGCTGAAGTATGATTTCTGCCGGAGGAATGCCCGACTCTCTATGTAGAGCGACACTTGGGGTAGTTCGCCATGGCGGTAGTGCCGCTCGAACGGCCTTGATGATGGTTTTATCCAGGAGATCTGTATGCCAGCCGACTCCTGTGCCCACCTTCTTATTTTGCTGGATGGTGAATCGGGTCAGCCCTGTCCACCACGCCTCTGCCTCACATAGTGCCATACTAAGAGCACATGCCTATACTACTTTAATCATTAGCCCCGGGACCGCACCGCACTACGCAGAGTTGATTTAACGTATGAACTGAGTTATGCGTTGTGTTTTCCCACACCATTCTTGGACATGCTGTTTGAAGTTGAGCTGAGAATCTAACCAAACACCAAGCCATCTCACACAAGGAGAAGGGGTTAAACTATGACCTTGAATATGAATTGAAAGGCCCGATGTGTCAAGCTTCTTTTTCGGTCCTCCACCTATCACTAGAAGCTCTGACTTTGAAGGATCAAAGTCTATCATATTCTCATTTGCTAGGTGGACAATTTTGTGTACCTCTTCTTGAGCTGTGGCTATTGCCGCCAATGCTATACTTCTGACAGCGAGAACCGTAATGTCATCAGCATATCCGAAATGATTATTCTTGTTTTCATCCTGAACTAGCACTGCAATATAGAGAAGAAACAAGAGTAGTGATAGTGGTGAACCTCGCGGAACCCCGCACTCTAATACTTTATCTCACGTCGTTCCGTCATGATATCTGACACGTATCATCCGCGCTGTCAAGAATGATTCGACCCATTGACATTATATCTTAGGCCACCTTTGTTCCCGTATCCGTCGTAGTAGGCGTTTGTGGAGAGCTGTATCGAAATCTCCTTGTACATCTAGAGTTACCATTGCCATGACCTTGTTGTTTCGAATTGTCGCTTCCGCATCGTGTATAACACACGATACGAGGTCAACTGCAGAGCGTCCAGGGATAGCACCAAAAAGCTGCTGGGGGAATACTTTATATTTGATCGCCAGCCAAGCCATTCTCTTAGCAACTTTCCTTTCTAATCCTTTTCCCAGACATGAAAGTAGAGAGATAGGCCGCCATCCCTTTGGGGTTGCAAGGTCTCGCCCTGGTCTGGGAAGAAAGACGGCTTCAGCTCTTCTGTATGCTGTTGGAAAGTGTCCATGATCTAGACAAGCTTGAAAGATATCCTTTACATGTTCTCCGATCACCATCTAGCATGCCTTGAGTAGGTGAACCGTTATTTTGACTGACCCCGGTGCCTTATCGCCTGTTAGAATAGTGCAAGCAGTCACATAATCTAGTGAGAGTGTTTGTTCTCATGGTATTGATTCTGGTTGTTCATCCTCCCACGTTTGTAGGTCATGTGCCGCATTAAACCTAGCCATCAACGTGTCCCGTAAGCTTTCCGCTCTTTCTAGCGGGTCTGAAACCCACTTATCTTCTCCGACCTTGATGGGAGGATGCTCTTGACACAGTTTCGGTTTAGCTCAGCGCATCACCTTGGAAATTCGTTCATCGGTGGTGGCATTTTCTACCAGCTTCCTCCAATGTTCTCTCTTTACTTTTTTGACTGCTACTCAAAAAAATCTTCTGGCATGTGCTGCTACTTCTGGCGAGTTTCTTGCGCATCTGAACTCATGGTACTTGATCTTACATTTCTCATTCCACGATGGTGCTGTTCTTCCACGTGTTCTAGTTGGTTTTCGTCCGACTGCACTGACTGCATCTTTGATTACTCCCACTAGACCCGTTACTTACTATTCAATTTCTATAACGTTGCTTATCGGACCTGGCTTCATCCATGCTTTGATATATTGGGAGAACTTTTCGAGGACTTGTTCACGCACGCGCGGTTCCGGTGTAGTTCCAGATGTTTCCAATATTTTTATCACTAAGGTGGATCCCACTATGGTCTTGTGATTTGATGTGCTATTGTATTTGCTTGATACCGTGGCCTCAGCTGTCGTATTGCTCCATACCAAGTCAAGAACATTTCCATCCCAATGTGTAGGTACCCCAATTGTAGTAACTAGATGCATGTCCTGAGCCGTGGTCCACCCCATAATCTGATCTCCGTTACCGTACTGACGAGGTGTCTGTGGTTGCCAGTGTCTTGACACAGCATTAAAATCTCCCCCCGCAATTGTAGGTCCTGAGGGTTTCCACTGAAGTAGAGGCTCTAAGGTTCTGCTGGGTCCAGGTGCACGATAGACATTGATGAACATTAACCCTGATACTTGAACGAAGCAGTAATCAGAAGTTTGGTATGGGGGCGATGGGAAAAACTGAGTGGCGTGAAGCCCTTTCCGTGTGAAGGTAATCGCCCTAGGCCTAGTTCCCCTCTTTCCAATTGGTTTGTGAATATTATATCCTGGATGACTTTTTGTTATGTAATCCTCCCCTTTTTGCTTAGTCCACGGTTCTTGTACCATGACCACATGTGCCCCTCAATCCCAGACTTGCTTTAGTGCGATATCTGTGCTAGGTCCGCCCTTTCCCACGTTTACTTAGTGAAATAGAAGGGTGTTATTTATTTGTTGATGGTGATGAGAGTTAGGTGTACTACTCATTGACGTGCATTATTGCGTCTGGTATATCAATAACTTCTGAGGCCTTGCCTTTTTCTTCCGATCTTATTAGTGCTGCTTTAAAACCTCGGTATCCTCGTTCCCGAATCACCCGAAGCTCCGCTGGAGTGCGCGGCGCCACTACTCCGTCCTGTCTTCTGGGTCGAGCCATACAATTGAAGTCGTTCGACTCATGAGGCTCTGCACAGTTTGAGTATTTGGGAATCTTGTTCGGATAATTTCTTGTTTCATGTCCTCCGGTGCATCTTCCACACTGGCTTCCTTTGACACAGTTTCTCGTGGAGTGGAAGCCACAGCAGCGTTGAAATTGCTCGATCGGGCGACGTCGTGTGAATGCTAAAGCCGGTCCACTCTCGTCGAACAGCCGAAATTTCAAGTTAGTTGGTACCTGCTTGAAGTGGATGATCCAACTAGTAGAATATTGCCCTACTTTGGCGTAATTTTGTCGCACCTAAATTGGCGTCACCCCACAAACTGACTGGCATTCCATTTTTACCATGTCGTTTGTGACTTCAATCCTACCCTCTAATTTTCGAATATGAAGTGGTACATGCGGGACTATGACAGATATCCAGTCTGACGCATGCTTGATTGCAATTTCCTTCATTTGAAGTGAAGGTCTAGCCCTCAGAAGTGTCTCTCTGAGTGCTTCTGACGCACATTCGATAGAGAGACCCGATCTAACTTGTGTCATCGCTAGGACTGCTGAAGGTGCAACCCCGGCTTTCTCGGTGACTATCTTTTTAATTATTACCGGTGATAGTCTCCGCCACTCATATTCTTGTCCCATTCGAAGAAAAAGCCGCTTGTCTTCTTTTGAGGGGCTTTGTGTGTGAGGCTTTGCTTGTTTTGTAGTCCTTCTTAGATTTGACGGAGCATGCGGGTCGGGTAGCTTTGCCGCTCTTCGTGCAACTGTGACCCACGGCAACTCGGTTTCCCGTGGCTTTTTTGGGACTTCGAGAAGTGGTTTGTCGGCTATTTTTGCCGCCCTAGGCACAGAGGTTGTTCTCTGGATGTGTTCGGGTCTAGTTTCTTGCCTGTAGGTTTTAAGTCATCGGCGTTACCTATCGCAAACTCTATCACAATAGGTGAAATCTTTTTAATGAATGGCGCGTCAAAACGTGGCCACAGGGTATATGTGCGTGCAGCCAAATATGGTCAGGTGACAGGTTGGCTTGGAACAGTGCGATGCGGTCGACGCTCTTCTCGCATGCCTCACATCATTGTGCATACCTGCACAAGCGCCTGCCATGGTCGCCAAACTTTCGCCTTCTCTCCGGGCGCTCGTCCACGCGCCTCATACCATGCCCGCTGGACGTCCGGCCCCATCCCAGCTACGCCTCATCTATGCAGAGCTAAGAAAGGACGCTGGACTCCACGGCGTCGGGCGGCTGGCCTGGCTGACCATTTCGGTAGGTCTGCGATTCCACGTCGGGATGTCGGCTAATCTACGTGCTCACGGGAGGCAGCGACCAGTGTAGCCCTCGATTCGCCCGCCGGCTTTGCTGCGCTCTTCGTCGAGGCCACGGCGACGATAGACGAGTGCCACAGCCTAGAGACGGCCGAACTACTGCGTGACGTAGCCTACAAGTGTCTTGCCTTTACCGGGGTAGGTCTGTAGGAATGCTAGCCGCCACGGAGGCTGACTGTCGGCATCTCTTTAGATCCCGCCTACAATTAACTGCTTGCACGCTCTGCGCGCTTCCCTACCCCACCAGCTCGCCACTCGACTTTCGATACCGCAAAAACCCGGCCCGTCGACCACACTGCCAGTCTCATCCGGCCCGGCCCTCTGGGAGAGTGTCTACGGCCCCGTCGCGGCTCCTTTAGAGGCAAAGCTCGCCACCGCTCATCCTTCCCTACCGTCATACCTTGTCCATCATGTTTATGGCGCTCTACTTGCGTCACCCCAGTCCCGCGTGGGCCGCGTCCTCACGAGCCTTGTAGCCATCGCCTGTCTCCGCGCTCGCCTCGGTGCCGCCCCCCAACTCACAAGTCATCTGCTCGGTTTGCGTCGAGCCTACACGGATGGATCGGCTGCTCGTGACATCGAATGCGGCCTCGATGCCAGCGACAGCGCCTGGCTTGCTACCGACGATGGCTCTACGTGGCTACTTGAGGCCGTCGATACTATTATCACTGCCTTTACCATCGGGCCAGCCTCTCGGCTATAATTAGACAATGTTCAATGTCCTTGTCGTCCTCTCTAACCAGGTGGTATCCTCATAATTCTTTCATCTCAGTGCTAGCCCTCGAGATTTAACTGCTGAGACAGGCGCGGCAACTACAGGCGAGTTAAGGGTAGTTTTTAAGGCTAGAGTTTTTGGATCGGGAGTTGGTTGCACGCTGGCCATAAGGTAGATGGTAGTGACTGCAACTGCTAGAAGGTTTATGAAATATAAATTATCTAAAGGCTAGCACCAACTGCGTGTCCTCACAAAATTTAGGAATCTACTTTAGGAGCGTAGATATTTCAAAAATTTAATTATTCATAATCCTTTTCTATCCTCATCACCGACCCCTGCTATGAAAATTGCAGGTGGCTAGTTGCACCGTCAGCTAACGCTCAACAGCTCATCTCTACTAAACTTTAAAACTCTAGCTAGCTCCACCCTCCCCAGCTGCAGTTTCCCAATCATCAGGTGCCTCCTCTATAAGTTTGCTCATAATGGCTTTTTTTATTTGAGATCGGCCTATGGCTGTAGCTCCACTTGACTTCAACATATTAACTTTTTGTTCTCGTTGAGAGGCAGGACCATTTCGGACTACCTTACTCCATCCATCCTGGTCAGTCGAGCTCTCATCTCCCTGGTGTAAGATATTGAGAAATTCATCGACATAGCACAAGACCATTGTCGTTGCAAATCCTAGGCGGCGTACAACACTGGCTAAGGAAGACTTGTGAGATTCAAGTTTACGTGCTAGATCGTATCCAGAGGCTAATGATGAGGTGGCCCGAATTAGCGTGTTTCCCGACGGTAGAAAGACGGCTTCTATGTCAAAGTCAAATTTGAGGCATGTAGGTTTGAGAGCTATTTGGAGTTCATCGATTGTTAAATCGAACTTTGGTGACAACAACAGATAGGCATTCCATGACTCAGTCTTTGTCATAGGTGGTGTTAGGGCTGTGGCTGGTGTCTTTGCAATGAGTTTCCCAGAAACTTTAAACGGTATGCATTGGCTCAAAGTTTTGACAGGTGCCGAGACGAAACGAGCGGTTTTAAAGATCATTACGTGCCTATGAGGCTCAGCATCTTGACTTTCACTGTGAAGACCGAAATCCTGTGCGAGCGAATGAAGAAATGCACGTCGACTTGACGCCATAGGTTTGAAGCGCATCTGCTTCTCGCCCTTTTTACAAGCAAAATTTCGCATTTGAAGCTCACACTGTTGTGTAAAACCCTGGTCTTTCACCAAAAATTCAAGTGTCTTAGTTGAATAAGGAATATGACTATCACTATGAGTTGCAAGTTCTATATCGAGGGCATCAGCTAATTTGGCATTGCGTTGAGTCTTTAAGCAGTCATCGTTGCAAGTAAGTTTTTTCAGAGAGTTGCCAGGCAACGACTTGGTCGCTAAACATCTTAATAATTGCTTTAGATTTCGACAGGCACAAGTGATCTCCATCTTCATTTGACATGGAGTATTCTCTTTGCACGGATATGGAGCATGGCATGGAGCAGCACATACATGCTCACAGACAGATCTTTTCCAATCACAAGGCTGATTGCACGGTGTGTTAAAGTCCTCACACTGTCCGTCTCTGTGACATGTCTTTTTACAGGTGTGTATGCCACACTTTAACTTCTTTCCGCAGATTTGGCCACATCTTGTTTCACTAAACCAGCATGGTTGGTTCTTTAGGGTCTTCTTGCCGCACAGACAGAGTTTCTCCATTAAGAATGGGCACTTGGGACAAGCTTCTGTATCTTGGTGACACTGATGCTTTACCGGGGGATGGCCACATGTCGGTTGATATAGGCAATCGAAATGACACTCGGGAGACTTAGTTCCGCATGGTTGAGGAGGTTGGAGAACAGTTCGACCACAGGCGCAACTAATCTCCTCAAAAATAGCATCTAAACAGCTCGGACATGGTCCTTTATGACAAAGTGAAGTGCAATTATGGTTACCGCATTTCAAAGGGCGATTACAGACCTTGATACAGATGTGTTCTGACTCAAAGTCACTAGTATTTGCTATCTCCACATTCAAAGGACGGTGTTTTCTTTTTGATGCCTGTCGCATAATGGCCTTTCGTTCACCAGGACAGCAGTGCTCACCACATTCATGACGACCGCAATTTAAATTCGAACGGCATATTTTGAAGCACTGTGGTGACTCTACAAGGTCTTGATAACATAGTGTGGGCATAGTTATCCGACCACAACGGCAGGTGATAGTAGTAGCTTCTTGACAGGGCATACAGGTACCGATGTGACATTTTCGTTTGCATAGATGACCACAAGCTAAGGACTTTTGGCAAATCTCTTGACAACAGGTTATTGGAGCTGAGCAGTCAAGGCGAAGACCTCCTCGAATTTCGGAGAGTGGAGTCTTTCCGCATGGGCAATGACTGATTATATCGGGAGAAAAAGGACATTTTCCTGGCCGACTATCTTGCGTGTGGCATTTTTTTTCACAAGAATGTCGTGGATTACCACAATCAAAAACTCGTCCACACACACTACCACAGTCAAAGGAACCTTGCCACATGATTTCGCCGAGTGTACTTTCTCGAATAACTTCAAGCTCACAACATGGCAGCATTTTCGTGAGTCTACCGCAATAGCAGCTTGATTCAATAGGAAGTTCGCAACTCCCGCAGAGACCTTTATGGCATTGCCTCTGGCACCTATGTTTGCCACAAGCCAGTAAATCACCACATATCTGCTCGCAGCTCCATCCATCTTCATAATTTGTCTCAGTGCACCTAGTAGCTTTTTCTTCTCGTCCGCAGAAACATGACAGAGATGGACCCATCTGTTCACACGGCAGACAAGGTCCTGCGTGGCAGACTGACCCACATGGATGGGGACAGTTAGTAGCTCTTGGCTTTGCACAAGTTTGTCCACATGAATGAGGGGGTAATCCAGGAATACGATGTGGCTCAATTTCTTTTGAACACCAACAGGTATAGTACTTCGGCACAGTAATTTTTGGAAGATTACAGCCTGGACATCGCCACTGCCTCAGAGTATGTCTTTCCAAGTTCGAAATTTCTTGCTGATGGTATGTTGAGGCTTCGTTCTGGGACCAACGTTTTACACATGATAGATGTAGAACCGACCAACATAGCTCGCAAGCCCATATTTTTGATTCAGATGAGACCTCATTTGTACAAATAACGCATTCATACTGCCCGTTCTGAATATCTTCATGGGTTCTACTGGCAATGTCAGGTGCTTGTGATCTTTCTTTTAATTTTCGTGTTGTAGCCTGGGGTCGTTGCCTTGATCGTTGCGTAATAGATTGACCCGGTACGAAGTTCACTGCATCCCCAGCTAAAGAGCTTACATTGTCGTTAGAGGTTACATTTGAAGTCAGTTGGCTTCCAAATTCTCGACGTCCATAGGTGACTATGCGTGAGCCTCTACGATCATTATTCCTTGCTAATCCCCTTCCAGATCGGATTCCTCTATGTATCGGAGATGAGAAGAAAGGAGTGGTAGAGTCTCTTCCTCGCCTTTGAGAGTCTTGGGTGACATTAAGATCAGAACCCTGTAGCGCTGTTGTTTCTAAGACGCTGATCCGTCTTTGACTACGTCTTCCTTGATTTTCTCTAGTAAGGTTTGGACCTACTTCTATGCTAGAGTCTAAAACTTGTCTATTGGTGGGCGGTTGCAATGCGGATGAGATTTCAGAGTTGCGCGGGACGTTAACCGCTGTGCCAGATCCTCCTCTTCCTCTTCCTCTCCTGTTGCGATGACGAGGCCTTCGACTTGTATCCTGAATCATAATATTTTCAGGGTTTGTCATCTGGTAAGCTTTACATGTAAAATTATCTACTAGAGGTTTATTTACTATCGTTTCGTTGGCGTAAAGTAAGTTTTCTCGGAATAATCGTGAGTCTTTTCATTTAACCTGTGGGCATATCAAATTGTTAATGCTATTGAATTTGACAGTGGGAGGAAGTTTTAATCCACACCATAGTAGAGATATTAATTGAGCTCTAGGACCAATTCATGGATTATGAGCTAACGGTGAGTCACTCACAAGTCTTAGTATGATCGCCATTCCCGTTATAAGCATCAGTGTATTCACCTAGCTAAATATGATGCTAATTCACTGAAGGCTCAGGATAAACGACTGTAGTTTCGAATTTGGTAAAGAAAGCTTTTACAAAGAATTCTTGTTCTCTGGCTGAGGAGGAAATTTCTTTCTATATTAATCCAGCTTTTTCATCGGACTATTTATATTCCGACATAACTCGATTACTTTATATTGATTTCAGAAACGTAACTCGTCTCGGGCGGACTTACATCTAATTTAGTATGACACGGAGAAGTCAATCAAGAAAGGCCCAATATCATCGTTGTGACAGTCCCTTACCGACCTAAAAACATAGGCCAGAATTCATTATACATTGTCTACGATAGGTGACCAACGCTTCACCTACGTCTCGTGATGTCAACTATAAAGAGATCAATTTCATCATGTCCATTAAAACTTGCACCAATGTCGGCAGAGACAAATTCTTTGTCTTCCGGTGATGCTGATACAATCGCTTAGTATGCTATGCATATCTGTGATAGCCAAGAAGAATTGCATCCGAATAGAAGTCAAAAGCAAACACAGACACATCTATAATCGGTGACTTCTCATAAATGTCGGCCTTGTCATTCTCAGGTTAGTCTTCTACCTTAACCTCTCCAGACACCACCTCGCTTCAGCGACCGATAAAGGAGTTACTCCAATCGCAAACAGGAGATAGCCTCACGTGTTACCGACCATCAATCACTACAAATTGACGACGCTATGTATACCCGCAAGGAGAAAATTGGAAGGGCAAGACTGAACACCTGTACGCGATGCCCTCTACGAACCTGGGAGTGAAATATTCTCGCAGAGCCAAGTTCAGTCAAATTTCGCAATATCAAAGAAGTTGGCCCACGAGGCAAAAATCCAAATTACTCCTCCACGTCGTTATTTCGCTCCCAAAGAGTTTGACTCCTATCTTCGTCTCATCGAGTCTACAAGTACGACCAAGTACGACCAAGTACATCCTCATTCCAATGACCACACCACTCTTCGACCTTCTCTGGCCTCAGCTGGTCACCAAATACACGCCCACGCCGATATTTATACCCGACGGAGGAAGGAAAGCGTCGCGCACAAATCTGGGAGACAGTTCTTTGGGACGGATGTGAGAGGGATCAGGACAAGTTGACAAGATGATGCAAAGGACGGATATAACCTCGAAGGGCATGAAATTACGAATTTTAGCAAGGAGTTTTTACAAACTAAGCTTTGTGCGCACCAAGACGTCGCTTGCGAGACTGCAGTTGACACTATAAACACAAGCCGACGATGGGAGGTGTTCTGATCTGCCTCCTGGTGGTGTTCTCTGGTATAGTTTGAGTAGCCTGGGCACCTACTCCACTTGGGAAGGAGACATCTTAGACCATATTTCGCGTGGAGAAAAGTTAATGGATAATGGAAGCATATCTGGATAACATAGGGTTTTTAAGACGTTCCCCTGGGTAGGTATTCACGGATGATGGTTGACTTGTAGTGAAGAAAAAGCCGCCATAACTTCGCAGTGGTACTTGCAAATGAAACCTGAGGCAGGAGTGCTCTTCCCATCAGTTGAATCATCTATTCTGTACTTTTCTTTGATATTGTGTCATAGCTAGGTAGCTGCATACGCAATTAAAATCTGATGCAAAAAAGGAGGAAATGAAGTCATGATATACAAAGAGGAAGTCTTGGTTTATGTGAGACTGTTGCTCTAATGGGTTTATACATCTTGAGGAATGATAGGCCGCTGAGATGTGGAGCGAGAAGGGGAAGAGGTCTCTGAAAACTATTCTTGGACTGACAATTTCGAGGGGTTTTCAACCAAGGAACGTTTTTGGGCGCCAACACCACGATTTCGGCTAATTAGCCAGGAGGGCTTCTTCTGTCGATGAGTCAACGGCACTCCTCAGCGCCCTGGACGGCACAAAAGAAGTTGGGCTAAGCTACCAAACAGCGATCACGCTCTGTTAAGACTTTTCTGGCATTTCAGCGCGACCTTCGGGAAGGAGTTGGAAGGAGGCTAGAAAGGCAGAGTGTGAATTTCCCGAGGTACACATAAGTCTGTAGCGCCCAGCTTGCCGACCTCTTCGAACCCTTCAGAAGGGGCACTATATCTTCAAATTTAGTCCTGATGTCGGTATGAGAAGAGCCATGCACCCAGTGGTTTTTGCGATTTTCCCCGGCTGCCATACACTCGTAAATAGCCATCGTTTCGTTCGCTGGAGAGGGGGGATAATGAAGGGCAAAGCGCTCCTCAAAGTGTATGATCGAATCAGGACTTGTGAGGGGCGGTACAGTTTGAGGGGAGCTGTATGGGAGAAATAGGAGGGTATATATTACTGGTATAGGAATCTTTAGCCTGTAGGTAGAAAGGGCCTGCATATCTTACTTAGCCGTAGATTTAGAAAGGATAATAAAAAGAAAACATTGGTTTTCATTTTCGTAAAACCGGATGTGTCACCATGTGTTAATCGCGTGATGACCTTAGCATGGATGCGCGAGCTAGGGTTCACAGTATTAATAGAATAAATTGCTCAGTCTCCTTATCAGGCGCCTTGAGTCCCTTTGGTTTTATGGGAAGATATGCACTCTAAGCAGGATAACTCATTCTGACGTTTTGAACACTCACACTCAGATTTCATTTGCAGATACTACTCGAGGTTAACCCTTACGGCGTGTAACCTCTTCCGTGCATCTTCATCACAGGAAAATGCGTGAAAGCCCTGTGGCTATCCAAGTGTGCTTTAGTCATCCCACAAGTACTATATCACGGCGAGAGGGAAGACTATTCTCAATACCTGTCAGTGGTGTCCCCTACGAACCTCCAGCTCTCACTGTAGTCTGCAGAGCCGAGTTTGAGTAACAAAGTCCTCACTTCGACGAGGATTCCCAATCGCTTGCGCGGTCTGTATCGTCTTCATCTCTCAACACATTCCCCTATCACCATTATCATGAAGCTAACCACGATCAGATCAGATGGTAGGGTCGGAGCCCTACTCATCACCAAACCTTGATCATGGAGGAAAAGCCATCCGATGAGTTTCCGGAGCGTACCCAGCACCCTATACGGAGATGGCGGATTGGGTCAAGTCGCCCTCGAATGTTACAAAGAAGGGAGATATAGATGAATATGCGCACCTCATGTGGTCCCTGTGTCTAGGCCTCGCCTGGCTGAGGCTGCAGGTTTGTGAGACTTTTTCCCGCGCACGCAGTTTCCATTGCTACCATTTTTATTTTTTTTGGGTAGAAGGTTTCAGGGAAAAGGTGGCTGAATTCCACGGGTAAATACTGAGCTGAATGGCTATTCATCACGGGCAATATATCAATGATCTTTCGAGTTACATGAGAGGCAAGGAGCACTTTACAAGGTGTGTCCTGGGTCAGAGAGGAGCCCAATGTGCTAGATTGTCATAGACTCGAGTAGTACAATAAAAATACACATATCCAATCACGGCGAGATAGAGTGGTGTGTGGGTTTTGCTGGCTTCGAGCTAGCTCTCTCATGTCATAAATAGTGTCGGTGTTCAGGCTACCCAGAATCTTCTTGGGAGAACGGCCCGAATGGTGTACCACGGCGCCATCCAGCCGGGTCCACAGCGTAGCTTTGAATTCTTTTGTGCTTATCAGGAGAGGGTTTATTACCTTGATGCCCTTCTGACTTGATCTTGTGGGGCTAACGAGTCAATCATTCCTTTAATTTATTGCCCCCTTGTGCGAGAAAGACTGGTGTCGGCCGCCCATCGACGAAGTATGGACTCATTCGATTTTCTCCTAAGTACCTCCCCAGGACCTAAGCGTTTCACCACTATATTGCAGAAAGTTAGGTTCCTGTCAGAAATCTGCCCACTCCGTAACATATGAGCTATTCTTGTGAGGTACCCGCTGCACAGCGCTCGCGGTCTCTAAATGTATTTTCATGGCCTCTGCCACTGCACATCACATCTTGTATTACATTGCGGTCACCATGTCCCGTCGGGGATGGGGCTTTAGTTGTAACTAGTGCGCGGTAGACATGAAATAAAATAATGTAGCTGTGAATTCTGTATAATATGAAAGACAAGACATTATGAACATTTAGAATAACACAGTATTGTATAACTCTTTACTGAATCATTACGAACGATCCTGAAGCCACCCCGGGGTAATTCCAACCGAAAAAGTAATAACAACAGTTGAAATAATAAAAACAGCTAAGCTGGGAGGGCTAAGACAAAGCATCTACATGCAGTGTCCTACGTACCTAGAGGTGAAATATTCATCTCGGCACAAATTCAGTCGAGTTTCGCAGAACCGAACAAGTTGGCCCACAAGGCAATAATTCCATATCCCCAATCAAGTCGATATTTCACTCCCAACAAGGTCGATTCCGGTCTAAGGCTCATCAAGCTCATGGGCATGACTTAGTATATCCTCCTTTCAATGATCACACCTCTCTTCGACCATCTCTAGTCTCAGTTGACTACCAAATACACGCCCACGCCGATATTCACACCCGACAGAAGAATCAAAGCGTGGCTCAAAAATCCGAGAGACAGTTCTTTAGGATGGGCGTGAGAGTAGACAGGAGAAGTTTACAAGATGATGCAAAGAATGGCTGTAATCTCGACAGGCGTAAGAATGGGAAGTTCAGCAAGGAGTTTCTATGAATTGAGCTTTTTGCGTGCCAAGGCCTCGGTTGCGAGGCTGTGGGCGACATTATAAACACCGCTACGGTTGCATGGTGCGGTGGTACATCGTCTTGGCCGCTCTTCCAAGTAAGGTCTGGATAGCTTGGGCATATATCCCGCTTGAGACAGGAGACGGCTGCTTCGAATTCGGCAAAACTGAACTACATTCCTCGCGACGCTGGTGGAAACGGTAAAAGCAGACTGTCAGCGCATGCAAGCAATACCATAAATTATTAATATTCTTCTACGGGAGAAATAACTACAACTGGACCGTGTCGACACAAAGTGCGCCCTGACAATTACCTTACATAAGCACTATAGAGAGATCTTGTTCTGGGCGAAAGGCCCAGCCTTTCGCCTAGTCCGAATTTTATGCAAGGCTGGGCACTCAGGTCTGCCTAGACAGCTAGTAGCGGGTAAACCCGTATCAGCTGGGTTGCATGGATGACGAGGGCATGCTTGGATAATCAAATATTTCGAAGTTTCCTTGGTGGTAACTTCGGGAGGAGGGTCGACTGTTGTTGTAAGCGAACAAACCTCATGGTGGTATTTATGAATGAAATCTAAAGTATGAGTGCGTCTAACGTCAAAAGAGTCATCTCATATGCACAAATAGCACAGATTATTTGCTATTGCTAGACGGGCGAAGACACATGATATGTTACAAAAAGCCGATAGATAACAACCTACTATAAGCCCTCTCAGCTCTAATCTCAGGCGTCGCCAAGATATCCGCATATTTCGCCTCCCAAGTACCCTGTCACAGGCGTTGAGGCAAGCTTATCCACGACCGGTCCGAGTCTTCCGCATTTACTCCCGTTTTGGGAATTTTCAAAACTCGCCTCGCATGTCTCTGATGACTGAATGTTGCGAGAGCCACTCTCACTTGGTTTTAATTTCTTCCAGGCCCTACTGATTTGCAAATTATTCTTCAACAAAAAGTTGGTAATTAATCCTCCGTTTTCCGGCTCATTTCTAATAGATGTCTTCGGAAACCATTCCTCGCTACCCTGCAACCTTTGAAAGAGTTGAATGTGTCCATGGTACCAAGCTAGGGCATATGTCGAACCCTCTCTGCTTACCATGTTGAAGAATCGACCATCTTGAACCATATTTGACATTTCCATAGGTTTGTCAAACGTAACGGTGGGGCGAGGGTACGGATATGTATTCTTGGGTGATTGATGTATACCAATGGTTTCAAACCCACCCTGAAAAGCTATACTACCCAAAACTCTTTCGGTGCATTTTTGCGATTTTATGAGATTTGAGCTTGGAATTGGGATTTGCGTTGGGCTGGAAGAATCTCTATATATTGAATATATGGTATTGAAACATTGATTTTCCTCTTCACTATTCCAGCTCGACACTTGGTCGATGTAAGACGTGGGTCTCGTGTATTTATCCCAGATCAAGCGACGTATTTCTTCACTGGTCAATCTTGGCGAGCAATAAACAGTAGCATACGTGCCGGGTCCTTTGATGTGGCTATGCGTCTTATACAAGTCGTGATCTTTCGGAGGCTCAGGAAATGTAGGACTTCCGCGTGGAGAATACAAGTAATTCATGGTTTTAGGAGAGTTGCTCAGTACAGCTAGACGATCGTTTTCTGGTGTTTCCTTCCCCGTGAAAAACAAAATTGCAAGGAGACAATTCATTTTTGCGACTTCTACTTGACACGTTGATTGCCTGGTGATGGCTTTCAAAGCTATGATTATTTCTAGAATTCTTAGGATGCGTGATACGGTCTGTGGAGTAAGCGTCAAGTAATTTTTTTTTGAGATTTGTAACGTCGACAGCAGAAGGTTCATGAACCTATAAATGGGGAGGATAGTACGCACTAATTTAATGGCAGGCGATGGGTGCTTTGGAAATTGATATATCAATCCCATTTTACTCATGGTTAATGAGTCATGCTCCTCAACTCGTAGGTCGTCCTCGGGCAGAGTAGATGATGATCTTCAAGAGACCATCAACGCAAGACTCTATCGAAGGGTATCACCAAGGACGAAGAAGTCACAGTGGCTAATCAGCCATCGGATAGGTGAAATACTTTCTCCACGAGAGTTTGACCGGAGTTTAAGGTGATGATAAAGTAATGCAGCCGGTATTTCCGGAATGTGGCCGGCTGCAAAAACCACCATCCCCAGTTTTCCGCATTCTTTTGACGGGTGAGATTAGATTGTATGGATCCCATTGAGACCCTCATTAGAGGATAAAATCCTTTTGAAGCCGTACCACTTGTCCAACGAGAAATCAGCGTATTCCTCGGATGAGGCAGCGAGAGGTTTACGGCCTCCAACCCAGACAAAGCTGCATCAATTTACTTCCTGATTAAAATTGAATAGTATCTCAAGGGGAATATATGGCATCATATCTTCTCACTACAAAATTAAACAACTTTGACTATCTCTATGCGGAAGGTTTGGTGATTCCGAACTAAAAGTAACCAAACAACAAGCAGTGACTTGGTACCGGCATCCTAGCTTTTTTGGTACTGATTAGGCCATTTCAGTCTATAATGTTATAGCATAAAAGCATGAAGATTATTTTGAGGTTACTAATTAGGATTATGTAGGAGGGCAAGACTGAACACCTGTCAGTGGTGCTCTCTACGAACCTGGGAGTGAAATATTATCCCAGAGCCAAGTTCAGTCAAATTTTGCAATACCGAACAAGTTGGCCCACGAGGCAATGATTCAAATATCTCCACCACGTCAAATTTTCATTCCAAAAAAGATCGAATCCTACCTAAGCCTCATCAAGTTTACAAGTACGACCTAGTACATCCTCATTCCAATGACCACACCTCTCGCCGACCTTCTCTGGCCTCAGCCGGTCACCAAATTCACGCCCATGCCGATATTCACACCCGACGGCGGAAGCAAAGCGTGGCGAACAAATTGGGAGAATTTTCTTTGGGACGGACGTGAGAGGAATCAGGACAAGTTCACAAGATGATGTGAAGGATGGATACAGTCTTGACGGGCGTGGAATTTTGGCGAGGAGTTTTACAAATTGAGCTTTGTGCGTGACAAGACTTCGGTTGCGAGAGTGCAGGCGATACTGTAAACATCGCCATGGTTGGATGGTGCGGTGGTACATCGTCTTGGCCGGTCTGCCAAGTAGAGTCTGGATAGCTTGGACACATATCCCACTTGAGACAGTAGATCGCTGGTTCAAATCCAGCAAAACACAACCACATTTCTCGCGGCGCTGGTATGCATGGATGACGAAGGCATGCTTGGATAACCAAAGATTTTGAAATTCCCTTTGGTGGGTACTTACGGAGGAGGGTTGACTGTTTGTGTAAGCAAGCATACCTCATAGTGGTATTTGCGAATGAAATCCAGAGTATGAGTGTCTCTAACGTCAAAAGAGTCATCCCACATGTATACATAGCACTGGTCATGTGTCATAGCTTTATAGCTGAATACACATTAAATGATAATAATAAAAAATAGGATTATGTACATTATACCACGTGATGATTAGTAATCTTCCGCTACATATAACCATCAAGCACATCGGGTTCTTCGCTAACTCACGCCACATCTTGTACGTTGCTTCTATCCTCTTTTGCTACGAAAAATATTTCTGATATTAATCTCGTGATATTTATTCATTTAAACCTATGATTACACGCAAAATCTAACTTCACTCTCCCGTGAAATTTCTACACCAAAGAAATTCTAATGAAAACTGTGTCTGCGTGGAAATTTCTCAAAACCCCAATAGCCCCAGTCAGACAGGGTGCATGTATCGATGTATTTTTCCCATACCGTCACAAAAGAGGCCATATTGTCCTCGCTACCCACGTTATTTGGAACACACAAAGGCGAGAATACACTACTCTGCTTTCTTTGGCTGCTGGGAGCTTTGGTGCACAAAATAGATAAAGGGGCAGAAGTAACCATAATATTCCAAAAGCGTGGAGTGCAGGAAGTGAAGGGCTTTGTATGTTGGAAAGCATATCATAGCTAAATAGCTAAATATCTGAATACGCTATGAAGTTTTTTTAAAAGTCATATGATGCCCATCAATCATTGCCGTGGCAGGAGCTAAGCGTACTCCGGAAACATGTTACATGGCTCTTTTTCCACCAAAAAGAATTGTGGATGGTGATAGAGCCTCGATCCCAACATCTCATGGCGGCTGGCTTTGTGATGAGTGTTGAAGTTATGAGCTTAAGCGAAGATGGAGGTAAGGGTGGATCTGTGTCGGCAGTTAGACCGATACAGTAAGGCTTACAAGAGGTTGTAGAAGGAAGATTCGAGTGGAAATAATTGCATTGAGGTGTACGATTCTGAGTAAAGTGAGATTGCGTGTGCTCATATCTTATCAACTGTGGTTTTTGACCAGTATTCATCAATTTCTATGGATCGTAAGTTATGATGCCTGTAGATGTAGATCTATATACATACACATATATGGGCCAGGAATATAAAGCTAAATACATGTGTTACGGTAATAGATCCGAGAAACCTATAACCGGCATTTGAGATACAGTCATCTGCTGGAATGCTAGTGTGAGATATGTGTGTGTTTTTATTATACTACTTGAGTCTATGACTATCTAGCACAATAGGCTCCTCTCTGACCCAGGCCACACCTTGTAAAGTGTTCCTATCCTCTTTTGTTACTTGAAAGATCATATATGCATTCCCATCGATGCCAGTTTTTAAAGTATCGGTAGCGTTGTCCGAATCGTAGCCTCGGCTATTACGATGTGAGGTCACCTGGGGCTTGGATATTGTTGTGATCAGACCCACTTATAGATCACACAACTTGGAATGGCTAGTATTGGGCAAGTGAACCAACAAGACAAGCGACCCTGCGTCAATGATACGTCATCGGCACACAGCAATGACAACACCAGTATCTCAACCATACATGAATATATGATAATATGACGCAGGTATATCTAATGACATAGTTTTTGAATGGCCGAATGGTTGGCAGTTATTGCTATTGATGGTATATTGTGTATATTGTCTTTGTGTATAAATACTCACTGCTAGACCTCTGTATATGATCAACCTTTTCCTCTCTTATATTAAATAGTCATCAAGATAGCAGATCTACAATATATATCTGTCTTCTTCACGTTAGACTTAAAGTGCTATCCTACATCCACCCAAGTTGACTGTTACACCCATTGTGACAATTCTTAGACTTCTCATAACCTCGTTATTACAATAGATATCAACTCTGTTAAGATAGGAATTTTTACTATAGTCCCTTCTGAGTCTAAGACTATGAAGGACTTCTAGAATCTACCATTAAAATTCTGGCTACTATTTCAATGTGAAAATGAAGTTATTTAATATGTTCCAATAGATGTTGAGGGCCATGCCCTGATATCAACTCTGTTACTCGTGTGAAAATGAGGTATGATCTTAAGTACTACGCTTACACATGATTAATTCTTATTTTTGCATCGGATTTTAATTGCATGTGCAGCTATCTAGCTATGACACAATATCAAAGAAAAGTACAGAATAGATGATTCAACGTAAGAGAAGAGCACTCATGCCTCAGATTTCATTTGCAAGTACCACTGCGAAGTTATGGTGGCTTTTTCTTCACCCCAAGACATGATTTAATTCGTGATGCTGTTAAAGATGCTTTGCACTCTATTATGTTGTTAGGGACTGAGTAGCACCCCCGTATTCTTTCCCAACACAGTCTGCGAATATTTACTCACCTCATTATTTTTACTGGGTTACAATGGTTGCCATGGTTGCCATGGTTAAAGAATGGAGTAATTAAGGAGTAGAAGGTGTACCCTATGAGGCCTAAGTTGCTCTAGTTACTATGATATATATATAGATTTGATAGAGCCGTAATCGTGGGCCATGTTTCGTTATCCGTCTTCTACTGGCCTTGTCTCCTGTCCTAGCTATAGTTAGAGTTACGAATTCACACCTTTGACTCTTACCAACCTCGTCAGATTATACTCAAGTCTCAAAGTAATCCTCCCAACTCTACCCTTGGCACCCTTGAGTTTGACATATGTGCTGAAATATAGAAAATGTACGGAAAAGATGGTTGTGTGGTAGCGCTTGACACATGGCTGACCACAGCTAATCTACTCCCCCATGACCCTTGCATATTGTCTATGCAGGTATGCATAGACTATTATATGTTATTCCTAGAACATAGCATCGGCGCCTACAAGCCCCTCAAAGTCGAAAAGATTCGAAAAATATGCGTCCCACCATGTCTATTTGTGACCTCTTCACTAGCTTGTCCCACCTCCCAACTGCCTGTACTCCCTCAAGGAGTGAATCTCCATTGGAACAGTAGCCCTCCATATGCCAAGACCCGTGTTCTGTATATCATGACTTAATTTTCTCCTCGCCAGAATACAGAGCAACGTAACTTTGATGAGGCAAATTCCTAATTGCAATTGGAGTGACGCTCTTATCAGTGGCTAAGGCGAGGTAATGTAATAAGGTTAAAACAGAGGATTCGCGTGAGAATGACAGGGCCGACATTGACGAGAATGCGTCTTCATGGCTCAAAATCCAAGGAAGTCGGCGTCTATGTGAACCTATTCACTCCCTTTCTTTTTGAATACACCAACATTATCCAGCCCCTTGCAAGTTACGTAGCCGTAGATAAAGGCTTGGAAAGTCTAATGTTTGAATATGTCAAATACATGACGCCTTCTGAAGCCTATGTTCCCCGAAGCGAACTCCGACGGCATCTAGCCCTGAAGTTTATCAACTTGGCGTTGCGTAGAAGTTTGATTGTCTTTAAACTTCGAAGCTCCAAAACTAGCAAAACCCTGACAAAAAATAACCAAATCATTCAATCATCCTGATTAGGCGCCCTGAAGGCCATGCAGGTATTTTCGGAAGATATGCATTTTATGTGGTATGACTTATCCTTGACCTTTAGAACGCCCACACTCAGATTTCATTTGCAGATACCACTCGAGGTTAACCCCTACGGCTTAAAACCTCATCCGTGCATACCCATCCAAGGAAAAGCGTGAAGACCTTTTGGTTATCCAAGTGTGCTTTCATCAACACACAAATACAATATCACGGCGAGAGAGTGTGGTGGGTGGGTTATACTGGATTCGAATCAGCTATATTATGTCTCAAATGGGGTATGTGTTCAAGCTACCCAGTAACTAGTTAGGAGAACGGCCCAAATGGTCTACCACTGCACCATCCAGCTCGATATCTAAAATATGCAGAATATGCAGAGTGTTCACACTGACACTGCCGGAAAGTGTAGGAATAGTATTCGCCAGCACAAATAATTTGTTAATCCAAGCGGGAATAAGCTAGCGAGAAAAATGCTCACAAAGAATCTTTCTCTGGATGGCAAGTTACTTGGCTATTTTGGGTTTTGTCATCAGATCAAAATTTTCGAGTTCATTTTCTCAGACGTAGACTCCATCATCTTACTAATTTGGTATACCATCAACTGTAACTGTAGACTCTGCTACAGTAGCTGGTACCTTGGCAGATGTATCATTTGGAGATGCATGCTCCTGAGCCTCACATTGGCCTTATCTCCGGAGGGCAAGACTCAACACCTGTACGCGGCATCCTCTACGGACGTGGGAGTGAAAGATTCTCCCGGAGCCAGGCTCAGTCAAATCTCACAATCAAAAAGCAAGTTGGCCCATGAGGCAATGATTCAAAATACTCCACAATGTCAAATTTTCACTTCCAACAAGATCGACTCCAACCTAAGCCTCATTTCAAAGATAACACGACTTATCGACTCATTCTCTGGCCTTAGCTGGCCACCAAACATACGCGCATCCCCATATTTTTACCCGCCAGATGAAACAAAAATTAGCGCACAATTTTGGGGGGAGGCTCTTTGGGATGGACGTGAGAGAAATCAGGACAAGTTCACAGGATGATGCAAAGAAAGGATACAATCTAGAAGGGTGTGAGATTTCGAATTTTGGCAAGGAGATCAACATAACGAAGAGTATTTTGCGCGCCGATACTTTGATTGCGAGAGTCTAGCTGACACTATAAACACAATCTAAAGATAGCAGGTGCGGTGGTCCGCCTTCGGTGGTGTTGTCTAGTGTGATTTGAATAGCCTGGTGTGACGTTTGTGGCAGAACGAGAGTGTGGCGCTATAGAAGGCAGGGATTGCTATTGTCCTTACCAGTGCTGGAACGTTTCCACAGCGTATTGTTAATTGATCTCATGACGGAGCTGCCAGTAAAGAGCAAGGGGGAACAATTGAAAGGCTATGCTGAGCTGGAATGACGTACCGTTAGGATGAAGGTATGGAAGGAGGTAGCTATGGCTTTAAGAGAAGTAAAGTTCGTGAGTTATACTCTTATGACTTGGATCAATGGACAAACTTGAGGATATCCCCTAGTATTCTCAAGTGTGTAAATAATATGGAGATTGTTTTAATTTCCTATTGTATGAGTTGCTTAAGTTATCTACGTGACAGGACCTTCTTCTACATACATGAATAAAGAGGTTCTGCACACTAGTGGATGTTCCAACATCTGTCCTTGTCTAACCGAGAAAGGAAGGATGTGAGAGATCCTAGCGCCAATAGATACCATTAGGAATCTATTGGGAAATACTATGTCATACCAATGAGTGATGATTTAGGTCAATCATATCCCATGGCGCATGTGCACATTATTCTAATGTGAACAGTTTATTGTAATGCAGTCATGTTACTCCCTTAATTACAACAGGAACCTCAGTACCTCATGTTAATTACGGATCGCTTGCTTAAGAGCGTCACCTTGGAAGCTATACAGACCATGAATGCCGAGGAATGGGTGGAACGTTTCTTAAATTGCTACTATAGATTCTATGCGTTTCCGCAAGCATTGACGTCAGATAGGTGGTCGAATTGGGTTGGTGACTTTTGGAGACACTTATGCAAACTGACTAGGATTGAGCGACGGTTGTCTGCAGCGTTCCACCAGGAAACCGATGGGGCGACAGAGATAATGAACCAGCAGGTGTTGGAATACCTGCGGACGTTCATATCATCATCGAATTTGGAATGGGCATCGATGCTACCTACCGAGCAATTAGCGATCAATAATAGGGATAGCTGAGGCACAACTCTAAGCCCGTTTTTCCTGGAACATGGTCATTACGTAGAGCAAGTACAGGCTAAGTCATCCGAGCTAAGAGAGCCTCTATCGACATGGGCTAAACGAGCTGAGAGATTCGTGGATAGGATACGAGAGGCACAGGAATTCGCAGCATCCGAGATGGTGGCCGCGCAGTAAGTAATGAAGGAGCAGGCAAATATGAAGAGGGATCATTCGCCACAGTTGTAGGTGTGCAATGAGGTGTGGCTCAGCCTCGAGAACAATGCCACGCCTTAGCCAAATAAGTTGACGTGGGTCAATGCAAAATACACGGTAGTAAAGGTAATATCACCGTATTTGGTAGAGCTGGATATTCCGTCTAGGTTATGGCCAAGATCTCACGTGGAACTGCTACGAAAGGTAAATGAAGATCCGCTGCCCTCTAAGATTCAAGATGACGCGCAACCTTCACCAGTGATGATGAAATATAGTGAAAACACCGCTCTAGAATAAGCCGTCGAACGAATGTCAAGGGCAAAAAAGGTGCGACAGATATTGGTCAAATGGAAGGGTTTCCTCGAACCGGCATGGGAAGATCAGGCTCACCTAGAGGATGTGTAAGCCATGGACCATTTCGAAAATTTGGACGGCAAAAGAAACAGCGTCGGGGAGAACGAAGGAGCTAGGCAAGGAAGATAAGGGAAGAATAGTCAGAAGAGAAAGGGAGGTAATGTTCTGGGCTTTGCCCGGATTGGGACTGATCACTATGACCACTCCGTCTTCGAGGTTAAGCTGTCACAGGGCAACGCTCCCGGAAATGCGAATGGGGCGCGGAAGGAGGTATCAAGGGGTTATGCACTAGATGAGGAGTATGTTGCAGGAAAAGACGTGAGTCGGGGAGAAGGGATGATTCTAAGGTGGCCAGGGTGGGGAGTTAATGCTAGTCTGCGCAGAAGACATAAATCACAAGAGACGATGCATTAGATTAGCTTCCAAAGGAAAAATTATTCATTCACCTTGAGTTATCGACTTTCAAGTACTTCTGGAATCTTTAAACCCTTTACACCTAGGCATCTACTCCACTTGGTAAATGGAAGCCTCCGACCAGGTTTCGTGCGGAGACAAGACTCTGGATAACTCAGGGTTTTTGAGACGTTTCCCTGGATGGGCGTCGACAGATGAGGGCTCACTTGGGGTGAAGAAAAAGCCGCCATAACTACACATCGGTTCTTGCCAAAGAAATCCGCGGCATAAATACACAAGGTTTAAATTGAGACATCTGTTCTGTAGCTATTCTTTGATATTGTGTCATAGCTAGATAGCTGCATACGGAATTAAACCCTGATTCAAGGCACCTGATCTCAATTATATAGAAAAGTAAAGATTATTTTGTGGCATTGCTTGCGTGCAGCGACCTTAACTTTCGTCCCTTCTACACTAACATACTTCTGTCTCTAGGCTCTTGGCCAAAAGCGAGCCAATGTTATTCCGCCCGACAGCCATAGTGTCGAAGGTAGTCAAAAAAAAAAATTTGAGTGATTGAATCTCAGCTATGATTGAATATTTCATCGCCGAATTTGTAGGACACTACTGATAAGTACCTATTTTTCGTTGTAAGAAGGAAAATCACACTCTCTTTGGCGTGTTTGCCGGGTTTTCTCGCCGGAAACCCTCGCTTTAATTCAATACATGGGAGGAGTGAAGAACGGGCCGGTTTTCTGGTCAAATCTGTATTATTTGTATAGCGTGTAGCTTTCAGGCTGATGAATTATAAAGCCTCTGACATTGAGCACGCCATATACAAGGATGTATTGTCAGTAGCTTTTGAGTAAAATACAATTGAAGTGTATATGTGGACTGGATTTAATATGTGATCGTTGGAGAAGCAATCATAACACGATTTATTGTCTTTATCCGAACGTCAAACTACTCGTTACTATCTCATTGCTGACTAACAAATGCAAGCAGAAGACTTGCGTTGTAGCATACTAGATCTACAAGATTATGTCGTATTTTCAAAACCTTATCATGAAATGTTTCATCAATTCATAGGCCTGTTAGTAGACGATAGCTTTTGTCAGCTGATTCAAGGACTGACACATTATCGTTTTAACATGAGACCACCTAATAGGCAGTCTATGGAAACTCTTTTCTTTAGAGAAGTCAGCAAACTCATGTATATCACAGAGTCCTCATTGTTCTCCATTCGATACTTTTATATCAGATGAAGTGAGTGACGTGTAATATCTGGACTATGTCACACGTTGCAAGGTCTCCAGTGCGAGGGATTGTGTCCCGATCCAACTCACTTGATTCGTTAATAAGAATATGGGTGGTATTTCACCTCTGAACAAACTATTGTGTGAAATTGACAAATCGAAATAGAGACCGTATATTCCTGATTGTATTGGGCTAGTTATTCTAAGTGTAGCATATCTATTTGTGAGTATACAGGAGATTTGGGTTAGCATTTTCTAACGAAGCTAGCTCGTCAGGTTTATCGAACCTTTCCATCGAATGTTCTTCATCAATAATATCAATCTACAGTACCCTCATGCCGCAGTAGAGCGAGTTTCAGTGTCAAGAAACGTCATATACGCAGGTCTTATTCCGCTTCTTGTTCTCTTTACGTGGCTTGGGGTCGAAAAGGCCTCTCTCCACAAGTTAAATGTCACTCTACTAGGATTCCTCATAAGCATCGCCCTTGCACTATTTATCACAGATTCAGTTAAAAACGCAGTTGGTAGGCCCCGGCCAGATTTAATTGCAAGATGCAAACCAGCCCCCAGGACACCCGAAAATATTCTCGTAACAATTGACGTATGCACAGAAACCGACTTTTCTATGCTTCATGATGGATGGAGAAGTTTTCCATCTGGGCATTCTTCGTTCGCATTCAGTGGTTTAGGATTCCTGTCGTTTTTTTTAGCCGGCCAATTGCAAGTTTTTCGTCCAAATAAGAATTTGTTAGGTACACTTCTGAGTATTGCCCCTATAATGAGCGCTATTATGATTGCCATAAGCCGCTGTGAAGATTATCGGTACGTGTAAACTTTTATGTCTTGGAGTGTTCGTCTGACACTGGTAGCCACGATTGGTACGATGTGATATCTGGTTCTATAATAGGCATATCTACAGCCTTCTTTTCATACAGGAGATACTATCCTCGTTTGCAGTCTCGTCGTTGCGAGGAACCATTTACTCATAAAAATACACGATCAGCAGAAGGAATTAGAAGGATTAAAAATGATGAAGAATCCGCCAGGCCATCTCGGGATTTTAGGTCTAGTGATGATGAAGATGTAAAATAACAGTAAATTTACTTGCTTAATTGACTTGTCATATTGCAGTTCTATATGCACAACTAGCTATAAGACTATGTAAATATAAAACAATTTGAAAAGCTTTCCGTAAATCTTTTAGCAGTCATTCGAAGTCCAAGAATAAGCAGAGATTTAAAATGAATCCAACTCCGCGACTAGAGAATAAAATATTGAAAGTGATCTACTGAATCTAGTAATTGGAAAATTTCGATGTTTAAGTCATGAATGAACGTCATAACTGGGCTTCCTACTGTTGAATTCCAAGGAGGACATTGAAAAATTCGGATGTACATGTGATATCATTATTATATAATTGGTAATTTAATGCAAGAAGAGACAAGTGACCACTTTCAATTTCTGATGAAACATTTCCTATTAATCTCAGAAATATGTTGAAACTTCGTTATCTAGTGTGACATGATGATCTATCATCTTACTGCGATGTGGGATGTGTGGTGCTCCGTTTACACTATCAGAAATTCGAGAAGAATTGGGTGATGTAATTATTTCATGACCAGTGACTCACCCAAATAGAAACCAGGAAATTGGTCTCATACGCTATCAAAAGCGAAAAAGTAGCCTGGCCTACCTACACAAAGCATAACTATGTAATACATAATGATGAAACACAGACCGAAGAAGGAATACTCAGAAAACAAGATTATGATGGTTACTTCGTCTAGTACACACAGATGAGGATTTATTGCAAATTATTAGTAGCCACAATTAAGAGATGTTCTCATGTAAAGTGCAGTCCATAATATTTTGAAATATTAAATATATCATTCACCGTGTAATTGGGCTACTAACCTCACGTCATAGTCAGAGGTTGAGCAGACAGTAAATGGATTAAGTAAAGCAATAAAAAGAACGACCTTAATCACTTCCGCCGTTAATCTCATTCATCTACTTTTGTGTCATCCTTACAGCCTCGGGTTTACATACACAAAACATGCCAGGAAAACGAAAGAGGAGACGGCCTTATGACGCAGCTGGAAATCATAAGCGCCCTAAAGTTGAGCAACTAGCCCTAGTTCAGCATGATATACTGCGACGTTATTATACTCACATATTTACCCTGAGGGAGTACATTATTGATAAACTGCCAATCAGGTCTAAAAACAATGGAAAAAAGAGATGGATTGACGAGAAATTTGATCAAAGTGAAGAGGCCAAAATATGCACAGAATTTCTTGATACTACATATATTGGCGTAACCCAGACTGAAGAGTTATCCCAGGAATATATGCTGAAGCAGTGGGATATTTTTGCCCAGAAATCTGGTCACCAAAAGTCATACAAATCTCATTCCAATAGACGCTTACAGGATGAAGTAATATCTTGATTCTGAATGTTCGACTACTAACAAAAAAATAGATAGTCGACTTTTCAATCTGGCTTCTTTTCTCTAGAACACTTTCGTCCATCGGAAAAGGCCAACATCTCCTTATACAGGGCTATAGAAAGTGTTCCGAATTCTATTCATGTAATAGACAAGAAAATGAAAACTATTCTATTCCCGGAGTAACCTCGATTTACCCGAACAGTTATGTAGATTCCATGAAAGCCTCGCCATGGCCACAAATATTGGCTAAATTAGACGGATATGGAGAAAAAATAATGCTTGATTTAATTATACGATGTGGGATATTTAGGCCAGTCGCAAATTCACCTTGTAACTTGTATCAAACAAGTGGTCAGTAGATAAAAAATATCTCCACTATATCTTGACTAATAGCCTAAGGGTTTCCACTTGACCAAGCTTGTCACATACAATCTGCTGAGAGTAAGCCGGAGATATCCGCATTAGTATCTCCAAAGCAAGAATTACGTACGCCCTCAAATATTAGATTCATTCGAAATCGCCTTATGTATGCGCGTCCCAAATTGAATAGTAAAGGCGAAATAAGACTTGGCTTCAGGCATACTCGTAAGTGTTGTCCGCTTGGAAGTGAAGTACTAATGAAATAGATTTTTTCAACAGATACCCGATCGCTAGAGAATCTAGTGAGAATGTATCAAGGATAGGTCAAAATTCCAGTTACATTCTCATGTTCATGTTTCCTCGACAGTTCGGTCTACACAATATATTTAGCAGTGGTAGCGATAGCTCTCAGAATATTCAGTCATGCTATCATGATAAAATTCGAGAAAAAGAAATAAAAGACAGATATCCATCCCAGAACTCTATTAAGATTCCCAAGAGACTTCGTGGGAAGCCGTCAGCTTTAACAGAGCGAATGCACGCTCTGCACAAAAAATGTTCTTACCGCAAGTTACTTGAATACTATTGTCCTGTAGGTGGACTTAGAGTCAAATATAGATAGCTAATTTTTTAGGCCAGCACTCACAAAGATGCGAATTTCACCTCTATGGAATCAAACGCAAAGGAAGTGATAAACAAATCAATTGAGCACACCAACTCTCTTACCAAAAACGCTACACACGAAAGATCCCTAGCTGAGCATGCTACGCCAGTAGCTCTGGTTTCATCATTCTGTTGTGCTATTTTGGATAATTTGATTCCACCCAACTTCTGGGGAACTACAGAGTTGCAGATTAGAAATCGAAAAACTTTTTACCGCAACGTCGATCAATTTTTGAAGCGAAGGAGGTATGAGACTCTGTCATTACATGAGGCGTTACAAGGCCTTCAGGTACGCTATAAACTCTTCTTAGGATAAAACTAATTTTTATCAAGATTAAGAATATTGAATGGCTCGGCTCTTCTAATAATCAGAAATTATGTCAATCGGACTATTCAAAGCGCCTGGATCTATTTCATGAATTTATATATTTTATTTTTGATTCTATTTTGATTCCACTTATTCGTACCAACTTTTATGTCACAGAATCCAATCTTAACCGGAACCAAATTTTTTACTTCCGCCACGATGTCTGGCGATTAATTACTGAACCGACTCTCTCATCTCTTAAGATAAATTTGCTCAAAGAAATTCCACCACAGCAAGCCAGAAAAATGTTAAGCTCCTGTGCCCTAGGGTACAGTCAATTAAGACTTTTGCCTAAAGAACAAGGGTTCAGGCCAATTATGAATCTAAAGGGGAGAATACGCAAAGCAGGCGGTCGGCTTGTACACGGTCGAAGTATTAATTCCATGCTATCTCCAATCCACAATGTTCTCACTCTTGAGAAGGTTAGTTAGCTTTACCGCACTATAGCCTAACTAATTCCTGTAGAAAACTCGACCAGATTTGCTAGGCGGTGCATTATTTTCTGTGGGTGACATATTTACTAAGCTTGATCGTTTTAAGTCTGGGCTCAAGTGTTCAGAACCCTTCTACTTTGCCAAAGTAGACGTTCAAGCTGCTTTTGACACAATTCCTCAGGCAGCGATCTTAAGATTAATATCGACTATAATTTGTGAAGATAAATATACAATAGGCCGTCATGCCGAAATTAAATTAAGAAACCATTCGGAAAATGCTGCCTTCAACCCAGCTAAGAAGTGGGTAGCAAATGCGCATTTCTCCGAAGATATTGCGACTTTTGCTGAAAAGCTTAGCAGCTCTATAGCTCAGCGCAAGAAGAATACCATTTTTGTCGAAAATTTGACTCATAAAAATTTCGATCGCTCAGAGTTGCTCCTTCTTCTGTCTAAACATTTAAGGTACAATATGGTGAAGATAGAAGATACTTATTATCAACAAGTAAATGGTATTCCTCAAGGATCGGTTATATCTACGACGCTTTGTAATTACTTTTATGCTGATATAGAATCTACTGTTTTTTCTTTTCTCCGGCCCGAAGAAAGTCTCCTTTTACGCCTCATTGATGACTTTCTTCTTATTACGACTAATGCATCACATGCAAAGCGATTTATTCAAACTATGCATGACGGTCTACCATCCTATGGAGTAAGTGTGAACCCGCGTAAAACTTTGGTTAACTTCCAGATCACCATCAATAAAGATGAAATCCTTCGATCCGACAAGTTAACATTTCCATATTGCGGCTGTCTCTTAAACACAAAAACTCTTGATATTCTCTGGGATAGTGCAAAAAACAAAAATACAGGTAAACTACTCTTGCAGTATTAGGAATTCTACAAAAATATTGTTGCTCACGCTTACTAATCAATAAATCTGCTCAATAGTCGCCAATTCAATCACTATTGAATACACACGAACACCAGGGAAAATATTTCAGCTAAAACTGCTCAGTAAGTTCTCAATTTAACTTATTATTTTAAAAGTAAAACAAAAAAGATCTTTAAAAGTTTTTTTGTGTTTCGTCCTCAGTCTCTATTTTTTTCGAATATCTAGATAGCTTTCTTTAAACACAGTGCCTTCTGGTCTAGCTAAATCCATTAAAATTTTACAGATAGTCGAGAAACTAGCCAAAAATGGACTAAAAGTAATGCATAAACTGCTATAAAAAAAGTAGAAATTCAAGGCAATTTTTACTGCTTGAAATCCCATTTACATTGAGCACTCCTCGCAAATTAATTTATTAAACCTTATAGTCTCTAAAATTTGTTTTAATCACAAAAAGCTAACTCGCTTACTCACAGACGCTTTCAAGCTATACACTCACCCTATGTTTTATGATCAAGTACATAATAGTCTCTTCACCATACTTCAGAACACTTTTAATGCACTTGAAGAAACAGCATTGAAAATGTACGCCTATATCTCTGGGCTTTCGCTCAAGAAACGGCCATCTACAGAACTTATTATACAGGCCTTAGAGATGCTTTTCCTTGGCGCAGAGAAAATCATTTGTCGCAGGGCCCGAGGAAACAAATTCAAGAGAAATAGCAATGAATTTGGAGGCTCGAAAAAAGTGCGTGACTTTCAAATCAGAAAAGGGTCGGTTGAATGGTATGCTGATTTACCATCACCTTTCATAATAAAAACTTATCTTTCCATAGGCTTGCCATTACCGCTTTTCATCAAGTGTTGATGAAGAAACAGACAAGGTTCACTTCAGTTATCACTTGGCTGGAGTCTCGTATGCAGATCTTGTATTCTCGTCGAGGTAGAGCTTTGGAGAAAACGATAGCTCAAATTAAGATTCACTGAGTTCTCCATTTCCTAAATCGGAATATCTCTAGCTTCAAACATTACTACTGTATACTCTTCTTTATGCTCTGTTCTTTTTTCTAGATTAAGCTTTTTCGAAACATTTTCTATATATTCTTTGAGGCAACTTAATAACAATTATTTCACTCATTCGTATCTATCCTTATTTGTGAGGATGCTCAAATGTTTTAATGACCTTGAAGACTCGTCGCATGACTTATACCTATATAGCCATTTGTTGGGATATTGAGAATGTATAGTCACGAGATTAAGATAATACGGATGGTTATATACGATATTTGGAGAATGTATAATGTGGTACTAGAAGTATGGGGTGATAAAGATGTGTTATGTGCTAAGGATGTGGACACTTTTGATTTGACCTACTAGCTGACTACGCACAATTTCCTGAAACCATTACTAACAATCACCCACCTGTTGTCACAGAGAACCTGTGCCCGCCAGTTCAAATGCAGCCCTTGCGGAATGGATTCTCAAGAAGGTCCATGCTCACGACAAAACAGTGTCTAAATTGCCGTGGACCTCACGAATCCACTGACACTTGGAGGACAAAGACAGAACACCTGTCAGTGGTGTCCTCTACGAACCTGGGAGTAAAGTATTCTCTTAGAGCCGAGATTTAGTCACGAAAAAGGGTGGGATGGATTTTATCTGATGGATTTTCGACTTGAAGGAGTTGCACTCGATATTTGGGTCAAAAAATCAGTCGGCAGAGATTTCACAGCCGCAACAAAGTTGTTGTTTTTTTACTACTATTATTATTATGTTAAAAGTCCTAAGCTAAAGCTCTAGGTCCACTATAGGTACAAGACTGGTGGAGCCGGCGGGGATCACTGCTTACAGGCCCAACTCATTCCAACCGCGAGACTCGCTACAGAAAAAGTAGAAGGTAAATTATAACTCAGAAGACACCACCTATTCCGACTCCGAAATCAAGACTCCATCCTTCAAACCTAAATCCAAGTACATAAAAATTTCCTCAGAGAAACGACACTTCTCGCCTCGATCCCTTTCGTGTCATGCCTTGTGGCAATGACTAGTTTGTCTGATCCCCGCTGAGAGCAGTGGATGAGTTGGCAGGTTGGCTATCAAAACAGCCGGTTTCCTCCGCCAAGTTTTTGAAACTATCGTGGCACTTGGGCCCGAGAAGCTTTTTGACAAAGTCAGCGTGGGACATTGAATTTCTGAGCCTACGCGTGTGTTGTGCGTGGCGGCTACAGTGGATGAAGTGGGTTGGAGTAGTTTCTTCCCGCAAGAGCACTCCATAGGAGCGTATGGATTGTTGAAACGGCGATGGTATGCCGCAAAATTGCCGTGACCCGTTCGTGCTGCAATTGGTTCGCGGAGCAGGTGCCTAGAGAGAGAGAGTTCGGGTGGTTTGCGTCTCCGAACCTGAAGGTTAAGTTGGCGGTATTTAGGCGGACATGCCTCTTCCCACCAGTTGTCTAGCAGCCTCTATCGTCTGCGATTCATGAGGTCTCGAAGATGTGCCAGAGTACTTGATCCTGGTTGTGTATCCGGGCTAGGCAATTCTCGAAGTGCTGCACGGTCCATGGTGTCTGCCTCTTTATTTCCTTGGATTCTTGCATGTCCTGGAACCCAATTCACTGGTATTTCTGCCTTATTGGATAACGCACGGAATTTGCGTACATCTCCAAGGCTAGTTGAGGATGATCTAGTCAATAATGGGCTTACAGCCTGTTGGCTGTCTAGAAACACGTGGATTTGCTGCGACCCTCCTACTTTCCTGGACTTATCGATCTCCAAGAACTTCAGTGCGGCCTCGAGAGCCTTCCTTGCTCCTACTATCTCTGCATCCAGCACCTCTCCCCCATGCTTGATGTCACTTCCTATGCCGATGAGTTTCCCATACTTTTTCAGAACGAAACCCCAGGAGGAGCGTCCGTGTCCTTCTGATGAGCCATCCGAGTATGCGCATATGTCCGTTCCTGGCACGTCACTGATCCATCTAACGCAATATTCGCGTTCCATCGGCTTTGAGCCTGCTTTGCTAGGGTAAACCACCGGCATCAGACTTTCAGGAGCTTCTGCATCCGTAAGCTGTCGGTAGGCACGCTGTAATCGTGACATCTGGATCTCTGGTCTGGCTGAGGTTTTGGCAGTCTTTTTATATTTTTGGGTGCCGACATTCGGGCACACAGAAGCGCGGATCATCAAGGGTCTTAAGCCTTGCCGAAAGTCGGAGACGATTTTCCTCCAGTATGACCTTTGCCGGCGGGATTCCCCCTTCTCTGTGGAGGATATTAAAGTTCTAGGGGGTATCTGGAATGATAGAAGTGAACGTTGACCGTCAAGTCAATACTGTACGAATTGTAAGATATTGGGGGTTTAAGGATCAGAGAGGTTTTTGGTTTTACTGAACTTCTATTAAGTTAGTTAAAAGTGTTGGAGGTTTAACCTACGTCTAATTTTCTATCTATGTTCTGCCTCGCTTAGGTATAAATATTATGTTCTGATTACGTGATGGAATAACAAAGGACTACAATTAGTGTTATCCTCATTACTGGAGGTGCAGCCCGCAATCATATCAGGTTAGTTATGTCAATCATGCCGCAAAGGTTGGAGGTTGAGGACGTGACTATTCCTCGTATGGTCGGGCATTTGGACCCTGGCCACCAGACATCAGATCCAAAAGTTGCGAGCGAGACAACGCACATGTCTACTGCCTTAGCCAATGGCCCAGGAGCTGCTCCCCTAAAGGCAGAGTTGAAACGGCGCATGTGTTGGGAAACTTTTACCGCTTTACCGCACCACGTAGTTACATGGTGTTTGAAATTGAGTCGTGGATCCAAATTCACGCCTAACCAGCGAATATTTTCCGCAGGCTCGATAAGGATTCCGTTGACATAAACAACAACTGCCTCTTCTCGCCGTCGTCCCGGAAATTGAATTACTTCGGATTTTTCCGTGTCAAAGTCGACGATATTATTCCGCGCCCATTCGAGAAGATGATCTGTCTCAATTTATACAGCTGCGACAGACTCTGTAATTGTGCGGCCAAACCCTAAAATACAGATATCGTCGGCATAGCTAAACCTCAATCCCGGAGTACCACTTTTCATCGGCTCCGCCATGCACAGAAGGAATAGTAAAGGCGATATTGGTAATCCCCGAGGGACTCCACAGACCAGCTCTATCTTGGTGGTTACTCCGCCAGAGAAACGCACTTAAACTTTCCGGTGTGTGAGGAATGAAGTCGACCACCGGAAGATTGAGTCTGGCCATGCCTGAGCTTGGATGCGCCTAACCAAGCAATTGTGGGGCACTGCATCGAACGCTCCTTGGACGTCAAAAGTGACGAATGTTGAGGCCCATTCCTGGGAGCGTGCTTCTTCGATGTCACGGACTACACAGGAGACCAGGTTCGTTGCAGATCGCTTTGGGAGCGCACCGAATTGTTGATGGCCAACCACATCACAGGTAATTGCGAGGTCCGCCATTCGCCTGGCAAGAAGTCTTTCTAATCCTTTGCCTATGCACGAGAGGAGGGCTATAGGTCTCCAGCCTTTAATCGTGGTTGGGTCCCTATTTGGCTTTTCCAGTAGTACCACCTCTGCTAGCTTGAAGCAAGAAGGATGAGTGCCCAGCCGTAAACAGGCTCTAAAGAACTGCAAAATACACGGTCCGATCGTCTTCCAGCAAACCTCGAGGAGCTCAACCGTAACTCCGTCTGCCCCTGGTGCTGTCTTTCCACAGCCGATTGTGCAGGTTCGCACTTTCTCGTCTGAGATTTCACCTTCCCAAGGTATTCGATTATCGCTTGGACTGTTGTATGGCGGAAGGTCGTCCGATTCTCGGTGGCGTGCAAGAAGGGCGTCTCAGAGAATGGTAGCTCGCTCTAACGGTTCCGTGATAAACTTTCCGTTGTGATTGAGTGGCAGAGGGGCTTTGACCTGTTTGTGGTTTGCTGAACGCATCAGCTTGAAGATATCGGACGGTGATGTCATTGCTTCCACTTGGCTTGTCTGGTATTCTTTCTTGGCGGCTGTGATTGTCGCTCGAAGCTCCTTTGCGCAAGTGGCCCGCTGTGTCGGTGTCGTTGCGGCTCGGTATTCTGCGTGTGCGGATTTGCACATAGGAGTCCACCACGGCGCAGATTTGCCGCTTTTAGTCTGGCCCTAGTTCCTGTCGCTTTGATGGCCTCGGAGAGATGGAAGCAGATATCTTGGGCATACTCATCCACTTTCTCTCTTGTACTCAAGTCTAACGGCGGATGTACCTATTTTGCAACGGCACGTGCAAAATTGGGCAGATTTTTCTTGGGCACTCTGATCTTTGATGGACCTGGGTTCCCGGTGAAGGTTGCTACAGGTACGATTCCGCGGATCGGAAGATGGTCGCTGGTCATACACTCCTCTCTATCAACCTAAGCACGGGCTCCAGATATGTTAGACCAGGCGAGATCCAGAGTATTGCCAGCTTTATGGGTCGGCTCTCCAATTATAAGGCAAGAGAGGTTGTGGTTTTCTGCCCACCTCTCTATCTCATCACCCTGTCCTTAAGGCCGAATTGCTCCCGGTTGCCAGGCAACATGCACTGAGTTGAAGTCCCCAGCTGCAATGGACCTCGCAGACGGTTTCCAGTCGACAAGCGGGCGGACTATAGTCGGGTCGTTAGGGGCCTTATACACGTTGAGAAATGTGATTCCATTCACGAATACTCAGCGGTAGTCCCCAGTCAGCCTATTACAAGGGAAAATCTGCTTTGCCGATATCACCTTTTCGTTCTTTCGAGTGTAGGACACCGCCCTCGGTCTGACATCCACACCTCCGTATGGTGTATGACAGAGGTATCCTGGGTGTGACTTGTTCTCGTTGGTTTGTTTGTTCCAACAAGGTTCTTGAACCAACAAAACATCCACGCCTAGCTCGTGAGCTCGAGAAAGCGTTATGTTGTGAGTTGGGCCACTCCTGCCTACACTGATTAACATAAAACTTAGTGTAGGAGGGGGGCGAGAAGGGGCCCGTAGGGCGCCCTTCACATAACTTCTTCAAGGTTCAAAGCCCTAAAGCCCGAACCCTTAATCATTGCTGTATCTGCCGACGATATGTCCTTAACAGCAGCTAGAGAAATTGGTCGCGTCGATCTGGCGCCAGCATTAGCAGCCTCAGCGGCCTTGGTAGCAGCTTTGGCTCTAGCGACGGCTAGGTATTCCTGTTAGCCAGCTTGTCGAATCGTCACAAGTTGCTCCTTGGTGGCTGGGCCAGACCTGTTGGGACGAGGAAGACAGTCTCAACTGCAAAATTGATGGGGGCCTTCGCAGTTTCGACATTTAGAGGCCGCTTTACATTCGAATGCCTAGTGCGTGGTGGTGTCACAGTCTAAGCATAGGCACTCGAGCAACCTTATGGTCAGAGGTAGTTTTAATTTCAATCTATGGTGAACTACAGATTGAAGAGGATAATAACAGTTACTTTATACATGATTATTATCTCAGCCAATGACACAGATTTCTATCCGTATATCCATATTCCCTACTCGTATTCCCTACTCATATCCCCTACTCGTATCACATTCTCGTGCCCCATCCCCGGACGTGTTACAGTATTATTATTGCCACTTATAAGGCCCTCCTTGTTTCATGCTAAGCCTGCGTTAGACAGCGCAGGCTACAGGCAATTACCGGCTTACAAGCCGTCACAGGTGGATCCGCAGTTCCAGCAGGCTGGCGCGCGAGAACACCCACGGATGGTGTGGAAACCGAGACATCGCCTACATTGCTTTATGAGAGGGCAGTTTCTTTAGATTGTTACTACTCCTGAGTCGTCAAAGAGTCGGAAGCCAGGCTTTGGACTAGCATTCTTGGGGAACAAGGCCGCCCAGGATCTATAGGGAGCACCGAGCTTAGTTTTTCCGTGTATCCTCACTCGGTCTGGAGTGCAGTTGGTTACCCGGAGGATTTCGGCGGCCACCATTTCGGCAGTGACTTCGATTCGTCCTTCGAAGCCGAAAACTGCAACTGGAACCGTGGCGATCCGGAGGGAAACTAGATCACTTGGTGGTTCTGGTTTTGCCTCCACTTGTGTGAAGATGCTGGAGGCCTCAAGCAGTCGGGATTTTGCATCCGGGTTTTTGGCACGGATGGCAAAGCCAGTGGGAACGCGTTGCACCTGGTCGACATCGGAAGGGGTGCATTGCGTTTGTTTAGCCACGGCTTCGCGAACGCCAGCCGAAGAGAGCTGTCTCCACTCGTGGTTTGCATCGAGACCTAGGAAGAGTCGGTCATCTTGCGGCGCTGTTGCTGCTGCTGTCGGCTTCTTCTCTATTTTCCTGGCTGATGGGGCAGCCGCAGTGGAGGTGATGTATGAGGAGCCTGTGTGCCTGACTTTTGGTGTCCTGCTCTGGTGACAGTGGCCCAGGTGCTTCTGAGCGGGAGAGCTGCAGTAGCCTTTGTAATATTCCGGGGAATGGCTACTGGGATGACGGTCGTAGGGGGAGTCGCGACATTTGGTCGTTGGGGTAGGACTGGCGGAGCGGTGCTCGGCCCGGTCGCCACGAATTGCGCGATTGCTGCACGTAGGTAGACTTTGATGGAGTCTACAAAAATTTTATTTTCATCGGTGGAGAGCGGTAAAATTACTGTCTCGACACTGCTAATCACCGTCGAACATATATAGAATCGTGCAGCTTTTTGCCTTTCACTGCGCTCTTCCGCTTCGATCGCTGCCAGCAATTCTGGGGGGTATATTTTTTCTCTGCCTGGTTTTCGAGGCTTTTTCCCGAGCACACAGCTTCCATCGGAATAATGTTTAGAGTAAATGATTCCGTGTGGAAGCTGATTGGAAACTGCGGGTAAACAGTGGCGACTGTCTGATCATCGTGGGTAATTTATCAATGATTTTTGAATTAACAAGAGAGGAAAGTGTTATAATATGAGACACCGAAATAATTGAGACTGTGGCATCGGGTGTGGCTCAAGGCCACAGCAAATATCACTAGTGCGCTGGTTAGGCGAGCATGTATAAAGTTTCATAGATGTACCCACGGTTGAAGGATGCAGTCTGACTTTTTTACTTTCTGTCCATATACCTACAGCATAATATTGTATGAGTCTATTCACTCTCATCCGTCCCTCGTCACCCCGCAATATGACTTCCGCATAGCTCATCACCGTAACAGATAGGAGCACTGTATAAGATGTGGCCCGGGTCAGAGAGGATCTCAATGTACTAGATAATCTATAACTCAAGTAGTTCAATAAACATACTTTTCTCATAGCAGTCAAACAGTTTTATTTGCTGGAATAATTTCATTTTTTTAGTAGACAATTATAGAAGATGTATAGTTACTCTCCTCCTGCATGTAAAGGACAGCTTTGTCCCAGGAAATAAATACAATAGTCTGCCCATTTCATGGATTCCGTCCATCACCTATATCCTTCCTAGGTCTTGACTAGATTGTAATGGTGAGCCAGTAATGGGGATCCCACCATCAAATGAAGGAAATCCCCAATTAGATTGAAAAATAAAAGTTGTATTTAAATAGTCTATCTTACATAGTTGGAAACTCAAATAGGAAATAAATAATAAAATAAATAAATTGTCTTAATTGTACACTTTGAGAAGCCTCTTGATATTCTTCCATTTTTCCATTGGCAAGCAAGCGATAGCCATTTGGGGGTGTGAAGCTAAAGAAATATTTGTCAAATAGATATTCCAGGCCTGTAGGCAGAAATCCCTTCATCTTCTTAGATTGTCTTAGACTCATCAGGACAATAAACACTAATAAGATGAAGTCTGAAGGTTCACTTGTAGCGAGGCTCTCATAATTATGGTATCAGGACTAGATTCAAATCGATACTAACCTTCTGAAGCGTTCACATGGCCGATTTCTCAGACGCGGTAGATATTTGTGCGGCCAACCCAACATCTTTATGCTGACTTGGGTGTCGAAGAATGCCAAAAACTTATTCTTGTACGAATCCTTCTCGATCAACGTTGACTAAATCTTAGCTCTTCAGAATGTGCAGTGGGAGTTGGAGACTTTAAAGAAACACCGCCGATAGGTGTTGAATCTTTATCCATCTCCACCAGTTTTCCAACAACGTATTACAATACTCCCACGATTTGGCGCCTATTTTTTTGATTTCATTTAGCTCAATTTAGCGCCCTATGGGCCCATGTAGTTGTCTACGAACCCTAATATTCACATAGGAGGAACGCATTATGGTAAAAACCCCCTCAACTTTTCAATTTGTCTGCACCTTGATTCTATGATACCTTCAAGAAGTGCACTAACACTATCATGTCCCGTGCGGATACCGTCCACTTGCTATCGGCAGGAGATCACACTTTCCCTACTCTCCTTTCTCCCTCATCGTGGCCTCGACTTCAAGCATTAGTCGAAACTGCTGAATTCTTCTTTCAAGTTGTATCCACTTAGTAATCCTAGCGATATCATTAGGGTTATTCAGCATGGCTTCGGATAACCCAGTCTCTGCCTTTTTCGTACCTTCCTTCTCCCTTTGGCCCAGTCGGGGCAGGCCATGATCATGTGCTTGAAATTCTGGGACGAATACACACGTTGGAATCGTGAGCTGCCTACTCTGGGAACATGTCTTCTGTATAGATAAGAATTGAACCCAATGTGTTCGCTTCTTATCTGCATGGCTATGCTACTTTGGCTCCTACTCAAGTTGTGATTTAGGGCCAATTGATTCTCTTCCAACGCATAATATTTTTAGACCAGTGAGAATCTAGCTTGAAGCCTAAGATAAATTGCAGTACAGTTTCTTTCAATACAAATATGCAACTAAATTTGCATTTATGGAGTCCAAACATGTGTATCTCCTTGTCAATTATTAAGAAATGAGAAATATATTAACTTAGAATTAAGAAATCGGTATACAAACATTCAAGAACTCATAGAATAGTGAACTGTGAGGTCTTCATAAATACTCTTTTCCACATGCTTACTGTCTAGTTTCCTGCACAAGGAAACATTCTGCTCCAAGAACAGTATGATGAAAGTCGAATGCTATGAGTAGTCCGTAAAGGTGACAGATGGCGGCCATGACTACAAGGATATGGAATAGTTGATGGGAGCTACCCCAAATGTCAAAACGTTTGGACCATGAGCATTCTGGCCACCGAGCCTAATATGATCAGTTAAAAACAATTTTACTTGAAGAGATACCTACGGCATATAGTGCAGCGCCCAAGATATAAAGAAGACCCTGCAAGACTAGCCAAAAAAGTCCTATTCGATTTCGCATTTCTAAAAGCCCATACAGCCGTACCCCATGGCCCACTGGGAATAGGGCAGACAATCCTAATGAGACAAAAATCCCAGCTCTGTAAGGTCGCCAGGCTGGTGTCCTGAAACGATCAAAAACAGATACGGCTGTGCATGCCAGTCCAAGCATTGATATCTTTTCACTTTCTTAGTTCAAGACTATAATACAGGGATTGATCTCCATACCATTGTCCAGTAAAATTTTTGGAACTGGGGATGGCAATAGAATCCATAAAATATGGACGGTATAAAGCTTCCGACGATAAGAAATACAATTCCCACATAATCTAGCTTGTTACCCCATCTTGCAACTAGGGGAGAATGGTTAGAGATTGTATGGTATGTTCCTGAAATTCCCAAGCATATTCCCGCTCCTATAAAAAAGCAACTGAATACTAATACATCAGTAGGCATGGCTGTTTTATATCTCGGTCTCATGAGAGTATATAGCCCAGAAGCAAGGGTTGCGAACAATAGAGTGCCTATATAGTGGGAATATATGTTTACAGACTCATTATGAAGGTAGAGAAGACTTGCAAAAGATTTTCGAAACGATAACGAGGAAGGTCGATAACCGGTCTGTATGTAATGGTTGTCTTGTTGCCAAGGAAGCAATTCACCCCAGTGAATCGTTTGAGGCTTTAAGTTTGAGTCCCCTTTTAAGATCCTAACGACTGGACTGATAATTTCTGGTAATCTTCGACGAACAGACATTTCCAGGAGGAATCATGCAGCTGCATTTCTTGTGGTCAGCAAGCGCGGAGGTGAGCGGTTGTGTAAACTTGTAGACCACGGCGCGCTAATCTACATTGAGAAGCTGCTCCGCGTACTTTTCCAGGGAGTTTGTTTACGCATAAATGTTGGCACAAGTACCGCTCAAGTGAAGAACAGATTGGATGTCCATCAGCAACGTGCTCCGTACCTGGAGGTAAAAAAATCGCAAGAAATGAGTGGTCAAGTCAATAATACAGCTAATATCAGTTTAAATCCATATATAATTGTTGAATGGTTTGACTGATGTTTGAGATTAGAATTATACTTAAACCCAATAGTATTATTATTTGCGGTAAATTTGCTTGTGGAGGGGTAGATGTGCTGAAAATATTGCACTATTATTCATGAATTTAAATCTAAGTTCCGACGTATCGCCTCTTGAGAATGCGTGGCCATTTGGAAAATGTAAAGCTGTAGGAGGGCTCAATTGATCTACAATTCTGGCATAGCGAGGAGGACAATTCTCAACACCTGTCAGTGGAGTCCCCTACGAGCCGAGTTTGGGTAAAAAATTCCTCACTTCGATAAGGATTCCCAGCCGCTTTCGCGGTCTGTATCGTCTTCATCTCTCAACACATTCCCCTATCACCATTATCATGAAGCTAACCACGATCAGATCAGATGGTAGGGTCGGAGCCCTACTCATCACCAACCCTTGACCATGGAGGAGAAGCCATCCGATGAGTTTCCGGAGCGTACCCAGCACCCTATACGGAGATGGCGGACTGGGTCAAGTCGGCCTCGAATGTTACAAAGAAGGGAGATATATATTAGAATAAGATTCTTGTATACGAGTTGTACGTAATTACTGGAAGTAGAATTGATAAAGTATTGAGTTAATCTATCGTGTATGATTCTCGCTATCGCAGCATCCTACAATGCTGCGCCCATACTCCTATTAATATGTGTCTGCCAGCCTCGTCTATGCGCTAATACGGAACTACTAATACAGGGTATCTAAGATCTCCAAACGCCTTACCCTCTATACTCCTAATTAAGTAATAAATACAACCATAACTCCATTATGTTCAGGTACAGGAATGATTATGTTTGACCAACAATCTCATAATTCAACAATATAGATGAATATGCGCACCTCATGTGGTCCAGGTATCTAGGACTCGCCTGGCTGAGGCTGCAGGTTTTTTGAGACTTTTTCGCGCGGGCGCAATTGTCATTGCTACCATTTTTTTTTGGGTAGAAGGTTTCAGGGAAAAGGTGGCCGAATTCCACTGGTAAACACTGAGCTGAATAGCTACTCATCAAGGGCAAAATATCAATGATCTTTTAAGAATCATGAGAGGCAAGGAGCACTATTCAAGGTGTGGCCCGGGTCAAAGAAGAGCCCGATGTGCTAGGTAGTCTAAGACTCAAATAGTGCAATAAACACACCTCTCTCTGTAGCCTAGAATTAAATAATGTAATTACACCAAACGAGTCCCTGATTACCATCCGAGCAGATCTAAGCGTCGACTAATCGTACACAGTTTGTCGGGCAAGTCAAGGGTCATTCTATTCCAGCATGTTTGCTTCTATTTGGCTCACCATATTTTCACTCTACCCCTTTTCACTTAGTACCTCAGGCAAGTAATATCTAGCCGAAGCAACAGGTGATCGTTAGCGCTAATAAGAATGAAAATTGTCTTAAGCGAGTGCGTATTTAATCAGCTCAAACCCGTCTTCGACACAATGCCAAACACAACGAAGACACTGCATTCCCGTATTCACTCATTTGTTCGACAACTAATTCTGTAATGAATCAACGGACCAACGCCTAGGTATGATTAACTATATTTTATTGATTAATATGATGATATGACTTCAACCGCAAACTAGAGTCTTTGACCCTTCAGGGAATGAAACTTTGAAGCACGTCAGTCTGATATATGAATACTTTATAACAACTATTTCGGAGGTCCAGGCTAAATAAACTAGTTAACGCTCTTATCAAATTTTATGACCAACAAAAACTTCAACTACTGTAAGTAAATTGAATTCTATATATTACCTGAGCTATGATGTTCTGTATGCAATGCATGCTGGAAATTACCGACCGAGACATTTGTCACTGAGGTTATCAAAGGCTAAATCTGAGCTCCTCATCAACATAACAAGAAAGAAATATTGTGTCCACAACTGACCCAAGTAGGACGGAAAACACAAGACGCTTAAGAGTGTAAGACACCTCTTTTTAAAACACTTAACATGATGAACTGGCACTGGGCTCCGACAAAATGAAGGATACGCCTATCTGTGGCAGGCTTAGAAACCCTAGCCCTCTGATAAAATAATTAACCGCACGGCAAATTAATACAAACCAACTTACTAAGTGTAAAATAGACTACTAGTACAAGAATAAATGGGCAATAAAATGTAAGAATAACCCCCAATCTATCCAATTCCATGATGAGAAATTTAGATGACGAGTCTGATGCGAGAAATCGATGTTGACAAAAAAAATACCATTCATGCCTTCTGAAAATTGAAATAGCATATTTTAGACTTCAAAGGAAGGCAATAGCTAATAAAGGTCAGATAACAAGCCAGCTGAAATTCGGCAAGACACAAGGTACGATTGATCTCTTGACTAAACCTTAAAAATGATGAGAAACTCTCAACGACAAGCATATGTCTGAGCCTTATGGTGTTGACGACACTCCGTGAGACTGAAATGGAAGAACAGTCCGATTGAACGCTTAGTACCAAAAATACACACTTACCAACAACCAGAAATAAATACTGTCAGAGTATATTACATAAAATTAATATGGTAAGCCTCGATTTCCTTCAAGTACTTATTGAATGATGATTTAAATCACGACGGTCAACATAGCCACACGTTGGCGTTGATGAAATGCCTTTGACACGGCTTTTATCTGAAAAAAAAGCTTTTCAGTAGATGAACCTCACAATGCCACATGCTAACACGATAAAGTTTAGCAGGTGAGTCAATGCCACTGAAAGTCAATTTTGAAAAATTAGTTAAGGGAAACACATACAAGTACATACAACTGTAATTTTAGTTCATAATTCGCGAATATATAGTTGATTGAGAAATAACATCATGTTTTGGAATGTATGTCTTTTACTAGGCGCATAGTGCGGTGCGTCTCTTTGTTCCTGAATCATTGGCTTGACGACTCAGCCAAGACTGCGAACGTCCAGTTCGCATTGTTCATAGATAGAAAGAATAACAACAAGAATCCATACCTCATATTCGTACCTTTCGTTGTGCATTGAACTAACCTTACTTATACGTAAAATAAGGCCAATCGACATCATGAAATATTTTCTATGGAGTGTAAAGCCTGCTTGAACCCATAAAGTAACCGTGCTCTGTGGTCACACAAGGAAGTTAGAAATGAAAGTAGACGGTGCATGTCTCTAATTAAGGGATTACCACTCGAAAGCATCATATTCGACAGGGTGTCAAACCCCTGCCTTCAATACCAAGACCTGTAATAAAGCCTCAAATTGATTCTTCGTCGCTCATGGCTTTCTGCACGTCTATCCCATTTCTGAATGAATTATTTTCCACCACTTCTCCCCAGCCACCGGACGCTAAATGACTGCACAGCTCTTTTCGTTTTGTGCTTGAACGATAGTAAGAATTACATTTCTCAAAAACAAGATCATCTTTTTGGCACACGCACATGGCTTCGAGGGCAAGGCTGAACACTAATACGCGATGTCCTCTATGAACCTGGGGGTGAAACATTCTCCAAGAGCCAAGTTCAGTCAAATTTTACACTCACCGATAGGTTGACCCACGAGGCAATCAGTCAAATTTTCACTTCCAGCGAGATCGATTCCTACCGAAATCTCATCAAGTCTACAAGTACGAACTAGTACATGCTAATTTTAATGACTACACCTCTCGCAGATTGTTCTCAGGCTTCAGCCAGTCACTAAATATACGCTCACGAAAATAAAAACACCCTTCGAAGGAGAAAAGTGGCGCACAAATTTAGGATGAAAGTCTTTGGGATGGATGCGAGAGATATTAGGAAAAGTTTACAAAATGATGTAAAGAAAGTATAGAATCTGGACGTTTGTGAGATGTCGAATTTTGGCAGGGAGTTTCATAAATTGTAGAGCATCACGCGCACCAGGTCCTCGATTGCGAGAGTACAGCTGACACTATAAAAACAAGCCAACGAAGGAATGCACCGTGGTCCGCCTCCTGGTAGTGCCCTCTGGTATATTTTGAGTCGCTTGGGTGCCAACTCAACTTGGGAAGGAGACACATAAGACCACATTTTGCGCGGTACAAAGTGAATAGTTGGCGGAGGCATGTCTTGAAATCCCAGGGTTTATAAGTCGTTTCCCTGGGTGGGTACTCACAGATGAGAGTTGACTTGGGTTAAAGAAAAAGCCGCTATAACTTCGCAGTGGTGCTTGCAAATGAAATCTGAGGCACGAGTGTTCTTCAATTAAATTGAGTCATTTATCTTACCATTTTCCTCTGATATTCTGTATTAGCTAGATAGCTGGATACGTAATAGAAATCTGAATCAAAAAAAGAAGACTGGTGGGAGGATTAGTGTCTTGTCTTTTCTTGTTCATTTACGTGCTAGGTAAAGTGATTCCAGTTGCACTCCTAGTGGAGCTTAAGCATGTTTGGGGCCAGTCTGGATCAGGTTAACTACCTTTAAGTACATCTACCTCGTCCCACCTAAATGACCGGACCACCCTTCAATCCCATTGAGCTCAACAATTATCTATGCAGATGGATCATTTGAGAAGACAAAAGGGAGCGGCATTGGATTTATAGTCTACTCACCTTACACCAGACAAATGAAAGGTTATTCTTATAGCCTTGGTCAAGAAGTAGGAATAGTGGATGCTGAAAGCTACTGCATATTACGAGCACTTGAACAGATTAAAAATCATCCATGTTCATCTTGCTTTGTTTTTTTCAGACAGCCAAGCTGCATTAAATAGAGTCAAAAACTCTTCCAATTGGTTATCTCATAAGATTCGATCCATAAATCAGCCTGCAAAGATCGAGCTTCACTGGTGTCCAGGCCATGAAGGCATTGAAGGCAATGAGCTTGCAGATAACCTTACAAAAATGGGAGTTGAAAAAAGGACTAGACCAAGGGATAAATTTATCACTCATAGCTTTCTTAAACTAAAAGTGCAGCAGCACATCATAAATTCATGGCACAAACATTGGCACTCAGGAATTCTCAGAGAAGAGGAAGGAAAGAAAGCTAGAGGTCTCGGAAAATATTACAGGATACAGGCAAGAAAGCAGACACCAAATTTCAGCATGAAACCTATCAATTTAGAAGCTTACAGCCGAGCAACCCAGTCAGCATATTTTCAAGTCAGATTTGGTATTGGAAACATTCTGACACACCTCAAAAAAATTGGAAAAGCAGACAGTAACATTTGTAATTTCTGTGGTAAAGAGAAGCAAACCTGCCACCACCTTATATTTCAGTGCCAAAAATTCAAAGCCCAAAGAAAAGAAGAGCTCTCAGATGTTGTGCCACGCAGCCTCAGTTTGCTATTAAATATCAAGGGTGGGAGAGAAAAGCTACTAAAATTTATTAAATCAAGTAACTGTATTAATTTACCAAAAATAGAGGACAGCTTAATTTCATGTAGGAATACACAAGAGGGTGTGCCTAGAATGAAGTAACATAATTTGCACAAATAGATATAAAATGAATAAAAAATTTGAGAAAAATGTACCTGATGAAGGACAATTGTAATTTAGAACATTTAATTAGATAGAAGTGTCATAGCTCTAGAGCTGCATACACAATGAAATAAAAAAAAAATATAAAAAAAAAGACCGGACCACCTCAGACTCCACCCATGTGTTGAATCATGTCAAGCACAACCGTCCAGAGAACCCCCTTTTGGCGCGCCGAAGCGCAAATTCCTTCTCAGCCTCGGCCACCACGCGCCCGAGCCCTTGACACCTTCGCCGTCTGTAACTTTTCCCTTCGATTCATGCCCAGCTTTAGCCCATCTCAGCATCTCCTCATCTCATCCAGGGGTCGTTTTCTTCACTGGAGGCCTCATCCAGTCGCCCACCAAGGCCTCCTCAGTTTGTATCCCCTTTTAGTTCCTTCATGTAGCATCCCTCTATCCTTCAGCCGATATCATCATCCAAGAAACTTTGTAGAATGTCCACCCCTCCGACCTTGCCCCGTCGCTGCCGTACCCCTAACCGTGGAGGTCGAAAACGTGATTAAGGTCTCAAGACGGAGGCACCGGTGCCCCAGCCTTTTTCGAACGCTCTAGTTAGTGTGCCGGCGAAATGTCGTACGTATTTCGTCGGTGGCAATGCGTCGTAGGTCGAGTTGATGGCGCCCTTGGCCGAGGTGAGGACGCATTTAAGGCCGGTATTTCGACCGTACCTTCACAGCGGCTGGCAGTTGCGGAGGGACGGAAATCCTCTTGCTTCTTAGTTGGCGGTTTGGCTTTTGGAGGTGTGGGATTGCTTTGGTAGGTGATGAGATGATTGTGGAGAGGGCCGCGAGATGAGTTTGGCTAAGAGTGATTTTCCAGAGAAATAGAAAATAAGATGTTGAAGGTGTCGGTTTTTGTAATACGAACATCAGACAGGTTATAGGCTGTCTGAGGTTCGTATCCGGGATGTAGATGTTTGATTTCGTTGAGTTGTGCAGTCGTGAAATCTCTGCAAGTCAGATGTTCGACCAAAAATGAGCCAACACCACTCCTCCCGATCGCCAACTCGACGAAAACTTCCAATTCACCCTTTGTCGTGACTGAATCTCGGCTCTGGGAGAATGTTCCACTCCCAGGTTCGTAGAGAATACCACTGACAGGTGTTTAGCCTTCGTCCTCCGGGGAGGATTAGTGTCAAATTGAGGCTGTAAAAAGATTGCAGTCAAGAGTACACTACCCGATACATAGATATTTTAGACTTCTACATACATCTGATCTGAGTAGGATTGTGAATATTTTTACTCTATTTGAGGCTTATAGTTCGTCTCATATCCGAGAGACTAATGTTTAACCTTTAACTTACAGATTATAGTTTAGCCTTATACTAGTCTTACTGGTGCTTTTGTATTACGATATGGTACAACGAGGTAGTCGAGGCCATGGCACATATTACTAGTGTACTGGTCAGGCGCGCATGTATTTAGATTCATAGATGTATCTACAATGGATGTACGCAGGTCACCTCTTATCTTTTCTGTCCATTTACCTTCAGCATAGTATTGATAAGCCTATAAATTGTCACACATTAAATATAACATCATCCTCTCCTCATCTCTTCGTAACATGACATCCGCATGGCACACAACCATCACACTTTGCAGGTTGAAAATTAGAATAACTATCAAATTTTTGATAATTCGTAAACGGTTCACCTTGAACGTGAGGAGAGAATTATAATACTGCGAAAACCACCCCTCATAATAAATTTCCTCCACAAACAAGAATTATGTTCTGGTAACAGATTTTATTATTTTATTCAATTTTTGGTGGTTTCTCGATTCCGAAAAAAACTTGCAGAAGTAGTACATACAATTGGAGATGGATTATTGTCATAGAGTAGTTTAAGGTCTTTGAAGCCAGAAAATTCGAAAAAAAGCTTTGCAGGCTTTCAAGGATCAAAGTGTGATGGGCGATCAACAAAACAATATAGTAAAGGAATGGTGGCCGATTACTGTCTATTTTCTACATACATCTCGGAACTGTCCACCGAGGGGATGCTACTTAAGGTGTCCCAACTCCCAATGCGCTAACCTCACTATCTATTCTACTACATCATATCCTTGATATTCCGAGTGGGCTCGTCATAGCGAATCTGGGTCGTATCGGCCCATGATTCCATATGAGACTTGCTGCAACAATATCTTGTTTCCATATTTGTTGCAACCCTGTATTTGTATGGCCAAGTTGGACATCTCTCTAGATAGCAAGGCTAATGACGTAATAATGATAAGTGTCCGTGCGACAGTCACTAGGAGATAGGCGCAGCCTGTAACACAAAGGAACCTAATTAACATATCATAAGCCTTTCCTGTTAAACAACCAATAGAGGGAAAACTTTCGTAGTTGAATTCCTGAATGACTAATGTTTCATGAAAAAATATGCGAGCAGAATAAGCCCGCGATAAAGAGCGAGGGATACACCTACAGGCTGTACGGGCATTAATTTTGTAGACACTCTAAGCAAAACTGGCCGAAATTAAGTTTCAAATTCATCATTAGTTGACTCTATTTCTTCGAAGGATGGTGAATATACTATTGTGATTCTAAAGATAGAGATTATTAGCGATCAAGGGCTATTATCTGATAAATTGCTTCAATAGCACGGGTTTCAACCGTAGATTTTGGAGATGAACCTCTAGAAAATTGAGATGAAATAGTGGGAGGCCCTAATTTAGAGTTGGATTTGAGTTCTTTTACTCCGACTACATTGAGATTGTAGCAAAATTGACACCAAGCCGAATCGTAATCCGAATAATATAGGCTAGCAAGTAACGCTTTAGCAATAGTACAAAGACTAATCTGAGTCTAGATAGACATTCGCCAAATAGATTATTAGGACGATGAATTGGATAAGCAATTAAAAATTATCTCCGGTGATACGATAGAAGACATAAAGAATTAACCAAGATTGAATCTTTTTTCTCGCCTAAATATAACAAAAGATGGTTTGACTATCTTTTGGAAGCACACTAAATAGTGGACTACAGAGACAATCATCTAGAAATACATTGATAATTATTCAAAAATAAATTGTAGTCTCACCGAGTATATTGCGTTTTTTCAAATCCCTCAAACCAAAATGGCTGACGACATAGAATCCAGTTACGGTCTTTAACAACAGCTTACTTAACTTCTAACCATATTTCTAATCGGGTGATGAAAATCATAACCTGAGCATGTATGTGAGTCATAACTCGGTAACCATCTTATCATTGTTTAGAGCATCAAATACGTTCAAAATTCCTGAAATTACTTTCAATTCAATCAGGATTATTGGGTTGATCTCTAGAAAAGAAAGTAATTCTTTCATTTCTAATATAATGGTATTTAAAATTATTGAGGCAATCTGTGGTATAGTATTTGGTAGCGGAAAACCACCTATCTACAAATCCCGCCTACTGATACTACTAATTTTACAAATAATATCACAATTATTATGTCAGGACTAAAAATTAAGGACGCTCCTAAAATACAGGGAAATTTATTTCCAAAAACTGCTACTCGACTATACCCCAATCATCACACCTCCATCTGTGAAATATATATTAGCAGGTCAAATAAAGGGGCATTTAAGCCTGCAACTCAAATGGAGTCTTTAGAAGAACCTCAGGGCTTGCATGTCCAGAAGGAAAGCGTATACGATTTTAGTCCAAAATATCAAGAAAATTTATTAACAAAAAAATCCAATCAATTAAAAATTTTAGGTAACGCTCCTGTGACAATGTGCAACATAGAAGATCACCAAAAACGACAACTTATTTCTCGGATTAGGCCAGCTATCCAACGAAAGTCTATCAAGCCTAAGGCGAAGCAATCATTAATTTCCAGTCGAAGAAGTCTTGGCCTATCACGGGTGATGAATACAGGATTTTCTACTAAAGATCCTCATCAGATTTCGAAGCACATTCAAATTGATAAATTTTCAGGAAATGATGCAAAAAATAGCTTATCAAGACAAGCCTCACCGGCGAAAAAACTCTCAAAGTTTCATGATTTCGATATAAAGACTACACTACCTACTTATCAGGAGGTAGATCAGAAAGACCCAGCCGTAAATCATTATGACGAGCAGATTAAATCACGAGCACGTAAAGATCAATTACATACTGAAAAAGATAAGGATATACTAAGAATTGCAGCCTGTCCAATAAAAAGAAAGCCAAGACAAAAACTTGCTCGGATTTTGCCAGGAGAAACATTCAAACTAGTCGATTCATCAACCACAAAAGTTTTAAAATTAACTAAAGCATCGAAAGATGAAGAAAGTTTGCACAAAGATTCACCAAGCTCAAAAATTTTACCTGAATCTGAGATGAGAAAGATCTTAGAAAATCCTAAAGTAAAAGATGGACATACGACTATCAATTATTCTAGCTCAAATATTCTCAACGAAGGAAACAGTAGAAACCATGCACTTGATCATAGTTATTCATTTGAACCAAATGAATCAAAAATCAAAGATTTTGTTCCAAGGAATCAACTTAATATAAAAAGAGCTACAGATAGCTACAATATTAGCCCAAAAACCTCGATAAGAAATAAAAAAAAAAATTCGAATGAGAGGCAGAGTTTATTAGTAGAAGATTCATTACCACAAGATGAAGATATAGAATCACAGCCTCAAAATTACAAGTTATTATCTAACAATAGTCTACCCCACATGAGTGATGATGTTTCAAGAAAACAAAAATATCAGGTAGACACAATTGAAAGTTTTAAAGAACCAACATTACTTCCCGAGGAACATATATCTAAAGGTCTTAAAACTAGATCCGTGGCACCAAAGCTAGAAATAACTGCCAGAAAATCTTCCACCACTCTTCCTACGGCCGATAAGATTAGAGAAATAGAATCTTTCACAAGTAAAACCGGTAATTGTGACCTTGAAAAAGTAAATATTCATCATAAAATTCATAAGACGGTCACTTCATCAAACACTGACCTTATCACCAAATCTCCTGAAAAAAACATTTCTTTAATCGGAAATGACGGCAAGATAATTCCGTCTCTCCTTAACCCTTTGCAAGAACCTAGCAATTTTGAGCTCTTAAAGGAATTGGTTGTCTCAAAGGTCCCCGAAAATAAAACTGATCAGAAGTATAGAAAAAGAAATAAGAGTGAAGAAGATGCCGATTTTGGTTCGAAAAAAAAGTGCAAGACTAATACGAGACCTTACAAAGATTCTCTCACAAAAACAGTTTCTAGAAACAAAAAACCTTGTAAGGTAGAAGGGTTCCAAAAATCAGATGAAATAAAATCAAAAATGAATGAACCCGACTTATCAACTTTCCAACGGCCGATGTGCTTGGTACAATTGGATAGGCTGAAAAACAAGCCATCACTAAACAGCGGAGGGTCTAAAGCAGAAAGAAGAGAGCTAAATTTTCTAGATGATAGTTCTTCTGATTTTTCAGATAATCCACAGCTTACTAGAACTAGACCTACAGTGGGGTGCAACCAAAACAAAAAATTATCACCAAACATCTTACTTAAATACCACAAAGAAAGTTGTAGTGAAAGGGCTTTTGTTATTTCCAAAGACATTGCTACTAATCAGCGTCAGAAAAGTAATGCTGGCGGAAATCATGATCGCCTTTTGCAGCAAAATGAACCAGGTACACTCTCCAAGGAACAAAATACTACCAAAATAGTTAGTTCAAATACTCCTATAACTTCGTCAAAGGAACAAATCTCAAATCTCAAGAAAATCTCCTCAAACAATGACCTCATAGCTATTCAAACTCCAAAACCTTCGCAGAACTCAGCTTTGAAAGGTAAATTATCTGCAGAACACGATATAAATAAAAACACTTACAATATTTCACGTCTGAGTGGTACTAATCCTATAAATCTCAAGCCAGTTATTCGGAAAAAATATCGGAGGACTAGGGTTACTCAGAATGGAAGTCCGATTGGAGGAGAAGAAATCGAACTTCATCCTATTAAAAATCTCGGGATTAATATTTTATCCTTAGAAGGTCACCAACAGCCAAAGAAAAACGTCGTGTGTCAGGCTTGCGAATTATCTGCCCCATTCGGGCCAAAATGTTCCATTTTAAAGCGAGTAAAGGCAGGACCATCATCCCCGGAAGCAGCTCCGACAGGATTAGTATTACATAAAACTTCTGATGATATTAGTTATACTGACATCAATAACCATCAAGTTATCTCACAAAAGATTCTAAGGGATCCATTTTACATTCAAGGGCCGTCTTGTGGGAATAAATCTTCTATAGAATCATCTCCGGATCCTATTTCAAAGACTTCTACAGATTCTACAGAAAAGAAATCCCGACTGCATAAAGTATCTATTAATCCTAGTTTAAGACAGTATGTACAAGATAATAAACTTTCACCATGTAAGCAAAAAAACAAACAAATAATTCAGGACACACAACATATATCACGAATTTGTTCAACAGAGGAAGAAAAATTCGCCCAAGATAGATGGAATTCAGCACTTCGCCCTCATTATCAAGGAATTCATAATGCAGTTCAAAGAATCGTCGATGTAAGTTTTATCAAAGTGAAAAGCTTCTAGCTGTTAATTTTTTTATAAGGAAATCATTTTAAGGTTGGTACAAGAAGAGGATAGAATGTCGTTGCTTGTGAATCAATATAAGGAAAATGGTGGCAAAATTATCAATAAACTCTCGATAGATCACACGAGAGAACGAGATTCAATTATGAGGTGCTTAGATGCGAAGATAGATGAAATATTACGCGATCAGAGTGCTGCTCAGTTCACTTTTCTGGAACATAACGAAAGAATTAAAAAGAGCGCGCTAAGCACAATCGAGGAAAACTGGGAGAAGAGGCAAGATGATATTCAAATAGCTATTTCGGAGGGTAGAATAAACTCGACGTAGGTTGGCAATCTAAGATCTATAATCAACATCCTCAAAAACAGGTAGCAAATTTTAGATGCTCATGGAAAAATAAGACATTCATTCTGAAAGTTTCTGGAAGCAACGATTGTAAATGTACCTACAGCTCCCCGCTATCTTACTGAGTTTATTCCGAGATATAATAGTGTGCGATAGAGGTATTAAACCTTGATTCAGTTTAAATTCCTACTTACTTGAGGATACTAGTGTGTGCAATGTGCAAATTTACTTTATTCACACATCTATATTTTAGTCAATTATCACTGAATAAAATGGTATAAAATTTGAAGAACAGCACGGGATCTGAGAGGCGTGGGTAGAAATGGACAGAGTAAAATTTGCGTCGGGAAAATGCCAGCTCATGCACTTCACACGAGCAAGTAAAAGACACAATCCAGAAGCAACTGTCATGTTGGAAATAGAGACACAGAGTGTTCTGGACGTATGGGACCTCAATTTCCTCTAGGTTCCAAACACGATGTTGTGTGTGGTTAAAAGGTTGGAATAAGGAATGGGGTAGCGCTTCAGGCTACCTAATGGATACATGAGTGGCTGTATGGTGTGGATGTAAGGAGGTTTTTGTGTATTTTTGTTATGATTATGAGCTTACGGTAGTCAATGGGCTGAAGCTTCTGTTTAGCATTATGCGCAGGACGTGATAACATTATTGTCTTATTGTTGTGTATTGAAGACTATGTTGATCTGATGAGAGGAATTTTCCAATGTACAAGATTGAGGTGTCTGTGCACTGAATATTACCCAACACAGCTGTTACTATAGCCAAATGTAATTCCCATAGACCACACATTACAACAGTTTTCTATGTCTGGATGGCACCACATTCGTTTATGCTGTCGCTCACACTTATTCCTGTAGGTCATACCTCCCATTCTTAAAGTAGCAATCCGAGCTTGACACCCTTTTAGTTAACTTCATCTTTCATTCCAGAAATATTGCGCCCATTTGATTTCCCGATATTTCCACAATGTCAGCATACAAGAGTATCTAACCCCTCTATAGTCTTCCCTCCGAGTCCTTGGAATCTACTTCGACCCTAAGCTTCAATGGGGCTCCCATGTACAGTCAAACTCCTGTTAAGACGATGTAATCGGGGCCGTGAAAAATATCGTCATACAGAGGACATCGTTGCTCTACAGAAATTCCCTTTTTGGGCGGCATTTTTAGCATCAATACAGCAAAACAACCCTGGTTGAGACGATATTCAGAGGTTGAAGAACGATAATCGTGTAATCGGTAAATGTATAGGTACGGAGTCCGTTCTGGAAAAATTATCGTCTTAACAGGGATTTGACTGTACCGCGGTGCCACGATTTCAGGTTTTCATTGGATTTTTATAGGGCGCATATTCGCTTCAGGGGTTGCACCCCTATTAGCGCCAGTTTCGACAGGCTACATAATTCTTGTCCTGTATTTCCAGGCCTAAACCGAGGGCACAATTTGATTTCATGTCACCCTCAGTTTTATGCAAATCCAACCCGCTCTCTAGTTCTTTCCCATTGCTTTGATGAGTGCCGACTGCTAAAAAATTACACAGCTCTTCTCACCTTGTGCTTGAGGGAGGACGAAGGCTGAACACCTGTCAGTGGTGTCCTCTACGAACCTGGGAGTGAAATATTCTCCCAGAGCCGAGATTCAGTCACGAAAAAGGGTGCGATGAATTTTAATTGATGGATCTTCGACTTAAAGGAGTTGCACTCGATATTTTGGTCGGAAAATCAGTCGGCAGAGATTTCACAGCCGGAACAACGTCGAACAAAAAGTCATCACCACCAACATACGATTCACGAATGGGCCTAGGTCTATCTGGGGGTCGTATTCAAACATCCGACATCTCTTAAACTTCTTTTATACTTGCGACGAAGCATTTCTCAATCGATCCTACACCTGCGACCTACCTCCATACCCGTCCGATCACCTACCTACACACGCCCTAATGAGGAAAGTCATGATGGAAACGGGACGTGTACAAAGGAGGAAGAAGAGGGAAGATACACCGAGGGGATTACACAAATCCCCAATGACGAAAACAACCCAACGGTACGATATGAAGGTGCAAGGCTAGAGCAACGATGAGATCTTGGACGGCATTTATATTTCGGAGTCAATGAGGATTTCAAGGGCTCGGGCGCGTGGTGGCCGAGGCTGGGGAGGAAATCGCGCTACGGCGTGTATACAGCGGGTTTCTGGACGGTCAGGCTTGGTATGATTCAACACATAGGTGAAGTCTGAGGTGGTCCGGTCATTAAAGTGGGACGAGGTTTATCTGTACTTCACGGTAGTTAACCTGATCCGGCCCAACCCCACACGTGCTTAAGCTCCAATAGGAGTGCAACGGTAGCCATGTAACCTAGCACGTTAATAAACAAAACAAAACAAAACCTTGTGCTTGAGTTACAATAAGAATTAGATTTCTCAAATACAAAGTTATTTATACAGAAGACACATGGCTTTACTCGATAATAACCTTATTTTATAGATGAATCCACCTTAAACCCCACCTTCAACACTTCGAATCAAACAATTATCCAGAGATCAAACCATTTTAGTATGTAGAAAAATTAGATATGAACAAATATAAATTAAAAGAAAAATTAAGATTTATGGGCTTCATGAATCTGACAAAAACCAGACGCAGATTGCCGCGCAACTAGGCATTTCTCGGGGACAAGTTATATATTCACTGCGCCGCGGAACTGTCTCCCCCAAAAAGAGAAAAAGAACATCCTCAAGGCTGAAAGCAGATGATGTTGATCAGATTATATCTTACGTTGAGTTTTCACCTGGAAACCGCCGCAAAACATTTCTGGAACCCGCCTCTGGCCCCTATAGACATCTTGGTGTTAGCGAGCGGGTAAAACAAAGATAACTTAAAAAAGAGGATATCAGCGACATGTAGCTCGTCTAAAGCCTCAAGTATCTCAGAAATCTATGAAGACACGCAGAGAATGGGCCGAAGCTCATCTCAATTGGACATATGAAGACTGGACGTCAGTTTTATGGACGGACGAAACATGGGTAGAGGATGGAAGACATTCTAGAGAATGGGTGACAAGAAGTGTTCGTACATTCCTCAATAAGAAGATGGTAATTTGATGCTCTAACATTATGAGCTAGACTTCCCAAAAACACAACGCTGATTGTGTTGGAGAAAAATCGAAGAATAAGGTCGGATGGATGTTCTGGGGTTGCTTCGCAGGGCCAGAAAAAGGCCATTGTTTGTTTTGGGAAAAGAATTGGGTTCCATTAACTCCCAAAAATTTTGCGAGAAGATAGTTCCTCTTATCGATGGCATAGTATCGATGAGACCTTGGCTTTCCGTAATGCAGGATAATGCTCCTGCCCACACAGCCGCAATTACAACGGAAGATGTGAGCCAGAGGCTCATTCAACCGATTTTCTGGCCGGCCAACTCGCCTGATCTTAACCCGATTGAAGCTGTTTGGAATAAGATGAAGGATTACATCCAGCGTCATCATCCGAATCTGGGTTGCGGAAAGCAGCGAACTCAAGATAGTCTTCGCAACATTGTAAAGGAGGCATGGGATTCCGTGTCTTCCGAAGATCTTGTGAGACTCATTCAGAGTATGCCAGCAAGATGTCAGGCTGTGAGAGATGCGGACGGGGGACCGACCAGATATTAAGGCCTAAAAATATTCCAGCCACATGTTCAGATCTAAGTTTAGGATAAGACTGGCTCTATTTTTAAATTTGAAATCCTTTGAACTCTTGTAAATAAGTTATAAAGTCGAGTAGCAAAAATGCACAAATGTTATGCAGCTGATCATTATACAAATTAGGTTTAGTACGAAGAAAAGACCCACTGCAAACTATGGTGTCCAGATAAAAACTACCATACAAAATTTTTCAAAAATTTGCACAAATACGGGGGCTAACTCCAATATGGAAGGTGACTATGCCTAAGGCGTCTTAGTTAGCACGCTAACCCCCCTGCCAAATTCCCACCGCAAACTTGACACCGTGGCGCCAAGGTACAGAACAGTGCCTCTAGGTTCTAAAAGGTAAAACTTCAAACTGGGTCGTTGAAGGGATTAGCCTTGTAGGCGCAGTTGGGCTAGCTCGTAATAAGTTAGTATGTCTCTCCTCCTTACCCCGCTCGCCATGAAGTATGGTCCAATCGTCTTCTTCTGATAATCGCTTAGTAAAACACATTTCCAACGACATTTTTGGCTGCTATGTCTACACAGTCACTGAAACTTCTCACCGCTATCATTTCATCATCTATTCTAGCAAACAATGTCTCTCGAAAAGTCTGCTTCAGAAACTAAAGTTTGCAAGCATCTAACTCGCAATCAATGTATTGAAATAAGAGTATTAAGAAGACTTGGCTTGACACTTCAAAATATAACCGACAAACTTGGCTTCACAATAAGACAAGTACAACTTGCGTGTGCTCGAGAGACTGAGAATCCTATGTCTCGCAAAGACCCCTTACCAAAATTAAGCGCAGAACAAGTTGATGAGCTTGAGGCTTTCGTCCGGGAGTCTCCTGAAAATCGACAGATGTGCTATTTGGAACTAGCCATGGGGCCCTTCAGCCACTGGGGATGCAGTGAACGTCTAATTTCTAATGCACTCAATAAAAAGAGGTTACAGCAGATGCATTGCTCGGAAGAAGCCTCCGTTAAGCGCGGTGAACAAGCAGAAAAGATTGGAGTTCGCCCAATTACATTTAGATTGGAGCGATGAACATTGGAGTCGCATATTATGGACTGATGAAACCTGGGTATCGGGTGATTGTCATATGAAACCTCGTGTCACAAGAAAAGTACGTATAAATTCTATCAAAATCTTCCTTGTACTAGCAGCAGAGTTTAGCCTGATGATGAGTTTGATGAGACTTGTATTGTGGCTCGCCATGCCCATGGGAACAGTTGGATGTTTTAGGTATTATTTTACGGATCATAAAAAGGCCCATTCCTAGTCTGGGAGAAGGATCGGGGATCAATGAGAGCCTCATCCTTTTGTGAAAGGACTTTGCCACTTTTGAATCAATTTCACTCGGAAAATCCAGAAATTCTATACATGCACGACAGCGCACCATTTCATAAAGCGTACTCAACAATTGAGGCGCTGCATGAAGTTGGAATAACGCCTATTAGATGGCCACCTTACTCACCGGACCTGAACCCGATCGAGTCATTATGGAATATCTTAAAAAACCACATGCAGGTAAATAGTCCTGAGATAAATGGGGTCAGGCTTGTGCGCTCTGCCACGTTGAAGACATTGCTACAGGATGCATGGGAGTCTATACCTTCTGACGAGCTTTTGTCACTAGTTGGCAGCATGCACGAAAGATGTGTAGCAGTGATAAAGGCAAATGGAGGGTACACAAAGTATTAGGATGGAGAAGACACACTAAACATGTAGTACGCTTTCATTTCAGTTGCGAGCCATACTGAGGGCTTCGATGTAGACTTTTGTAATACAGAGCAATACTTTTTGAAATAGATGTGCATTTTTAGAGAATATCAATTGACCATTTTCAATTTTGAATTTCAACTGAGGACCATTGAACTTTTCCCATTGAGTTCAAAACCATCCCCATAATTTGGACTTTCACGTAATGTCATTGGATAGTACCCCTTGCTCGCATAACTAGTCGATTAACTCTACATGGGCCTGCATGAAGATCATACAAATTAAGGCAATATGTACAGGGATCTAACCCCAGTCATTTTGTTAATTTTACTCTTGCCATCCATAAGAGACTGTATATCCAACAAAAGTCAGATACAGAAGTATTGACATACAAGGCTAATCCTAGTAATGAGGATTAACATATGTGTCCTTTATGATAATTAGACCCACTATCGTAATATCCAGTTGGTCAAGCTAGCTTATCTCTTTGTAAAAATTTGTTGAACCAGTATATACCTTTTCACAGCAAGTACAATCGGTAAGTATATTGACGCAGTCATCTTGGGGCGAAACATTCAAGAAGTCAAAGCTTTTAAAAAGTATGATGGTAAAGCCAGCCCTCACGTACGGGGCCCCCGATAGGGGCTGCAGCTGGACCAGTGGGCAAAATAAAAGGAAGCAGAATAAATCAATTGCGAAGTATTCAGTGAAAACGCCTAAAGCTGGTCACAGGGGCATACAACTCCACTAGCAGCAGGTTAATAGATCACGAATGCCCAATTAATCCACTAGACATTTATCTCAAACAAAGGAGGGTGCAACACATCGGAGTTCCAGAATTTGAGATAGCAGTCAAAGAAATGATGAAGCGATCGGGAAAAGAATTGGACGGAATTTAAACTTGTTGAACAGTGTTAATGCAACACCTGAATGAAACCCTAGGAATCCGATAGACTAAAGACAGATAGAATCACTGGATTTTAACCGAATCGATGTCCTCATATGTAAACAATATAGCTATAAATACCTGCTTGGACTCATAGCGTGTCTGAATGAGATAATTAAATAAATCCAAAACATCGGTATCTATTATGCTAAGCTATCGCTGCAAACTTACATTGTAAACGTCCTTATTGCTGAAATAAATTCCTAGCTACCGTCGCAAACTTCAACCATGATATACAATTGCTTGCAGCATAAATATTCACGACGTGGAGGTTGTAAATATTTTGAGACTTCTTAACGGTGTTTTCATAATAATTTAGTTGGTGGATAATGAGATGCAGCGAGAGCCTTAAAGACCGAAGGACAAATACCGATGGATTTTTGTTCGATGACGAAATCATCATTTAATTTGGCTCGATATTTTTTGCCCTGTTGACTCTATAACTATGGTAGGATGTTTAGGATCTAAATGCATACTTGCTAAGAGTAGCTATGCAATCTATAGTGTACCCATCCTGTGCCATTCTACCCTACTCTGTACAGCGTTGATACACGTAGAGCTTTAATCGACCACACACTTAAAGTCACTCGTTCTATGTCTTCTCTATCTATATACCCCAATTGTTTGTGCTGTAGGATAGTCAGAAGGTCACTGCAGGATACCACATGAACCTTAGTTGAGAGTATCAACCGCGAAATATCCTTGCTTGGTCTCCAGAGTTATCGCGTGGGTTAGTATAGAGAAATATTAAAGTAGCTTAGATCCCTCTGAGCCACCCGACTAAAGTTAAACAGAATAGACATGGTTTTATGTTACCTATTTTTCAAGAATAGGAGATAAAATGTACCAACTACTTTGAGAAATAAAGGCCATTTGTTTGAGCCATAGAGCCGAAATTATATTGTAACAACAATTTGTACCATAGTATTCCCCTTCTTGGCCTCTGTTATCATCACTGTTTCTTTAAAGGCTGTTATAATTATTTGTTCATTTTATTGTCCTATCTAAGTCTATGACTATGTAGGACATGCAGGTCCTCTCTGCCTACAGGCCAAGGATACCTATGCCAGTAGTATATCCCCTCCTATGCCTCCCACACAGCTCCCCTCAAACAGTACCGCCCCTCACAAGTCCTCATTCGATCATACACTTAGAGGAGCCCTTTGCCCTTCATTATCTCCCCTTTCCAGCCAACGAAACGATGGACATTTGCGGGTGTATGGCAGCCAGGAAAAATCGCAAAAACTAATGGATACGGAGCTCTCCTAATACCAACATTAGGACTAAATCCGAAGACATAGTGCCTCTTCTGAAGCGTTCGAAGAGGCCGGCCAGCTGGGCGCTGCAGACTTATGGGTGCCTCGGAAAATCCACACTCTGCCTCCTTCCAACTCCTTCCCGAAGGTCGTGCTGAAATGTCAGAAAAGTCTTGACAGAGCGTGATTGCTGTATGGTAGCTTAGCCCGTCTTCTTTTGTGCCGTCCAGGGCGCTGGGGAGTGTAAAGGCTGTTATAAGCTAGTCTTAGATTCTCGATGGATAATTAATCTTAGATTTAATAAAAAGTGACTCGAAATCGGATCGACAGGTTTTCAGTTGAAGGCTGGAAGTTTCAGTGTGGGCAGATATTACTTGAGATGAGCAATGTTACTACTTCGCGAGATTTTGTCGCGGAGACCTGCCGGTAGATCTTGACCTATTAGGGTCAATTTTAGAGGGGCAGTTGCAAGAGCCGACATGGTTGGTTAACCCGCTGATAATTGCTAAAAGTATGTCATACCCCACTCTCACTTGAAGTGGAGGGGAACTTTTGGCTACCATTACACAGCAAAGATCTTGCTATCTAGAAAGAATTTATTGAGGGGCTACGGTATGTGGAGCACACTGCTTAGCGTGGATTAAACAGCACTTAATCTTCATCAGAATATCAACGCAGATGGACGATTAGTTTCATTGTAACTTGATAAGCACTGAGGGTAACAGGGATGGTGAGTATTAAGGAAGGTGCAGCCCGTTTCTTGTGTGGCATACATTGAACCACAGTGTACACTTGCTGGTGAAGAGACATTTATCATCCTCCTAACTAACCTAAAAATACCTCACTAAAACACCAAGCATTCTGAGACTCCAAAAATTATCTCCTTTATTTGAAAAAAATAATTCCTCGCCGTTAGCCGAATCTGAATTCATTCCCGCCTGAGATACAGATAGTGCTTAAGTTTTGAATTGCGATAGCAAGAATTTAATATGGGCCGAGACGGTGGCTTTCACCCATTCAAGGGTAGGGTTAGCAGACACTTTGCCGATTCGGTGCGTCAACACTTCAATTTCACCGTTATTTCTCTGTTGCATAGAAAAACAGCACCAAGTTACAAGTTTTATTAGCTGTAGGAAGTAGCTGATCAAGAGAGTTGAGTAACAACAGTTAGCGCCAGACGATGCGTACTTAAGTTGTAAGTAGCTCTCTGGCCGTCTTCTAGGCCTTTGTAGCTGCTAATGGGTGGGCGCTTAGATTATGATATAAGATGTTAGTAGACACGGAAGAAGAGTTCAACTTGGCTTATAAATACGGTGCTAACGAGAAGCTTTCAGTAACAAAAGAAGATGTCGATACGCTCAAGAATGACTGGCTAACCGATAATGTAGCCTCCCTACTCTTTACGAGTTAACTACTATCTAGCTAACTTCACAGACAATTGCCTTTTGGGAGGAGTACCTTGAACGTGAAGAGCTATGTAAACACCCCTCAAGTCATATAGTTCTTCTTCGCCCTTCCATGGCGTTTATGCTCATGCAGACGCCTGACCCGCTCACTCTCAAGGAAGCGCTTCCTAACTTTTCACAAACAACTCATATTTTCCTCCCTATAAACGATGCACCCTCCGTTACTGTTGCCGAAGGGGGCTCTCACTGGTCGCTACTTCTGGTCTCTGTAATCGACGGTGTTGCTTTCCATTATGATAGTCTAACACCTTCAAACTACAATGAAGCGAAACTGGCGACTGATAAGCTCTCTATCCTCTTAGGGAAAAGTCTGAGATTCATAAATTTGAAAGATAGCCCTCAGCAAGAAAATAGCAGCGATTGCGGTATTTTTGTGTGTATCCAAATGCGTCACTTGCTGTTGAAAAAATTATTAAGTGCAAATTCGAGAGAGAAAGTATCTATGAGTATGAGCGGAAAGCTAGTGGACGCAAGTGGTGGTAGGAAAGAGATTTTAAAAACTATTGAAGGGTTTAGAAAGGAAGGTCAGAAAAGAAGGTCGTTCGTGTTTCCATTTATTCTTCATTTTCTTCTGTCGTTCATGAAAGCTAACACTCATTTGGTCATAGACAAGATGAATCACATTCTTCTCCTTTCTCAAAATTCAAGGGTGACCCGAGAAATCCACCAAGAATTGATTGAGTATCTTTATGCTAAAATTAATTTCTAAATTTGACCTCCGCGCGAATTCAGCAGCTACGACATAATAAGTGACAACATTTGAAAATCTAGGAGCCAGTAAATAAACAAAATATTTAAACTGGTATGAGATATCCGGAAAGCTAGTCAGGCTTTTTTGTCTAAGGTAGATCAAGCTATGGATAGTACATTTAAATTCTTTGAATTGACCTACATTATAGTCACTTAATCGATAATAGCTTATTTTAAAGTTAAATTACTTGGTAGATAATGAAAGTGTCGACTGGTCAGTGTCTAATCGTTCGACCACTAAAGAGTTTATCCGAGTTTCGGGCGCTATACATCTGGTGTTTGATGCCCTTCTACACCCAACTAGACGCTCAAAATTCATAAAATCATTTCATTCCCAGGGGGGCTTCTGATCCCTATGAATTAAATTACAAGGGCCGCGCAATCATAAAATGAGCACTAGTCACGGATCAAGATATGTACTTTAAGCAGCTTTGGAAGGAAGTGGGTCTTATACACTAATAAATAAAGTTTGATAATTATCCAAGACTACATCACAGTACATAATCTCCGTCAAGAATTTTCCAGACGTTTCAAAACAATATCCGATTTATATGAAGGCGTGAATGATGGATGGTATTGAAATGTGAAAGAGGTTATAAAAAAAGTTATCTTAGATACAAACAACTCTGCAGCTCTCAACTGATTGCCCTTTATGAACGCTTCAAAAAGGGTAGCAAAGTCATTGGACCTAGTCCTAGTTTTATTACTGGAGAGGCTCAAAACCAGTGGTTTTTGAAAGTATTCCCTATAACCATACGCAAGGCGTGTGAGCCGGCTATCTAAATATCTATCGTATGTATGTATTTCGTATCATGCAAAAGCCTTCCACCTAAGAGGGATAATACGGGTGTGTGATCTCTGAAGCCTCACTATTACCTATCGGTCCAGCTTTCTTGGCCGAGTAAGTACATGAAAGAAGAGATAAAGAAAATTGCCTAGACAAAAATTCCCTGCGCCGTGCCCACATTCATATTAAATTGCTTAAAAATTCCAGTCCCTCTGGATAAATCAACCATTTCGATATGAAAATTGCCCTCCGCAAAATCTCGTTGCAGTTATGTACTTAAAGTATTCCTCCCAACTGTTTTCTGCCAACATAATCTGTCCTCTTGGTGGTGGTTCATGTCCAGATATTCACCATTGTCGTAGAGCCATTCGGCACTCTGCAGACACCAATGACGTCTCTTCTTTCTACAGATATTTCTGCAGTCGAAATTTTAGTGCCCAAATTTCTCATGGTAGCCATTGAAGTCACCGTGTCCTGTCCTCGCTACTCTTAGACGATGGTACGTCCATCTCGGCAATCCAAGCTCAGGTGGTCGGTTTCGTCTCATATTCGGGTCTAATTCTTTGTAACGACTTAATCTGTGCTCAAGCCACTAGGATTCCATAGCTTCCACAGCCTGTTGTCGGATGAGCCGGTTCAGAGCTGCATAGGTGTATTCCTGCTTGCCTCTTAAGTCTGGAATGTCGCTCAGGGCTGCCTTGGCCAATTTTTCCACCTGATCGTTCCAGATAATTCCGGAATGGTCCGGTATCCAACGGACTTCGACTGATAAAAACTGACCTGCCTGAGACGTAAATGTCGACCATAGACTGAGACTATTTAATTCAGCCGCCTTTTGGGGCCTGCGCAGCGTTGAGACTGTCTAGTAGTACCTTTACTGGGCCACCGTTTGTCTTCAATATGACTTCTTCCATGGCTTTCTGGGCTCCTAAAGGCTCTGCGTTGTTATGCTCTGCTCCGGTCATGGGACCTAAGCCGGACCCTATCATTTGACCTGCTCTTCATAAGGTGTATTCCCATGCAGATTTGGTGGGGCTGCATGAAGATCCATCCGAATAAGCACAGACTATCTCCGCTGACAGACTAGCTATCCATTAATTGGCGTGATCTGCTTCCACTTGCTTGTTGCATCCAGTGGATTCGCTTTTGTGTTCGACTCTCAGGGGGGTTTTTTTTTGAGTCATTTAATGTGTATTCAGCTATCTAGCTATGACACATGACCGGTGCTATGTATACATGTGGGATGACTCTTTTGACGTTAGAGACACTCATACTCTGGATTTCATTTGCAAATACCACTATGAGGTATGTTCGCTTACACAAACAGTCGACCTTCCTCCGTAAGTATCCACCAAAGGGACGTTTTAAAACCTTTGGTTATCCAAGCATGCCTTCGTCATCCATGCATACCAGCGCCGCGAGAAATGTGGTTGTGTTTTGCTGGATTTGAACCAGCAATCTACTGTCTCAACTGAGATATGTGTCCAAGCTATCCAGACTCTACTTAGCAGACCAGCCAAGACGATGTACCACCGCACCATCCAACCATGGCGGTGTTTATAGTGTCGCCTGCACTCGACTCTCAGGTTATGAAGTTTAACTGGACCTTCAGAAATAGGTGCGCTCTTGGAACTCATCTAGAGCCACGTGAGGTAACGATCTAGCATAGATATCGCTAGGGTTTTCTGGTCTGTTCTCAAGCCAAGCTGACTTATCGTATCCACTAGTCCCTCTCTAGATATGAATACTAGAGGGCACCAAGAATCGAGTCGTTGTATCCGTGATGTAGCCTGGAGATATCTCAGCTTAAAAAAACCTCGCTAGATAGATGCCTGACCATCGATATAGAGCCATATTTGGCGTGATGCGCCATGCTGGTGATGTTAGTCAAGCTGCTTTTAGTATTGTGCTGAGCCGGCTATTTTTTTCAATTATTTAGTGTCTTCAGCTGTTTAGCCATGATACTTGACCTGTTCCTTCGTTCCTGATCACTTTCGAATATTCATTTCTTCCCCTCTTCCTCTCGTCGCATATATGCGAAAAATTGAGGTCGAGCTTCTGGCATTTTTATCATGCCACCTGTTCGGAAGAAGCGACCCAACGCTTTGTTGGACAACACGAGAGTCCGCCTGAGGATTTCCAATCAAAAAATCGACCTTGCCCAGTCTTCAAGATACATGGAAATAGGCGAGGCCACAAGCAAAGGCAAGGACAAAGCCCTTCCTGCCGTCTCTGTGCTCGAAACTGACATGATCGAGTCAGTCAAAATTGTTGAGGAGATGCATCAACCATCATCCACCACCTACGGGATAGGGGGACCTTTTAAATACTCTCTGAACATTTCAAGATCGATGGAGAACGCTGCTCCAAAAGCAGTGCCAAAATCAATATCGTAGCCAAAAGCTGCTGCAATTGCTGAATGACCACCCAAGCTTCGACTGATTCTCGAGGCTGAACGACGCGCCGCCCACACAGCTGCAAATCAGGTGTTATGGTTCCTATCATGACTCTCAATATATGGGTAAAAGCCTATGATGATGTACGAAGAGGCATGGAATTCCAACTCAGTGGGCTAGGTAATTAATGTGTATATACACAGTAACTCGTGATCTGATGTTCTCCTGTATAGATAGGCATGAAATTATGTTGATTATATACTTGTGGATTCCTTAAGTCTCCAAGAGGCCTGGTGGCCTAATGGTAAGGCGTTGCTTTCCGGAGTCTGTACCTGTTACAGCGAGACTGGCAAAGATTGCGGGTTCGAGTCCCGTCTGGGTCGAGGTTTTTATTTGCCGATGATTTGTGCGCAACACATTACTTTGAAAATTTACGAAAGATATGGCGTATCACCACTACATCTCCATCGCAGTTTGCCCGTTTGAGGTTGACTGGGAGGACCTTACGTCTCACCAACAACCGTCCAAAATCAAAGGTAAAATTCCTTTCTCTTTCAACTTTATTAAGATTGTGTGCAGGACTGGACAAATGCTCAGCCTTATTTTAGATAAGCTTAGATAAGCATCTCGACCGCGAAATCGACATTCTCAACTTTTCGACACATTCCAATGAAGGCGCGAACAAAGGAGCCTCACTCAGACAACGAACAATGTACGACAAAAGCTGGGGCACAGATGCCTCGGTTTTGAGCTCTCGATTTCGGAATTTCAGCCCTCTCAAATGGGGGTTTAGCGCAATGCAGGAGAGAATTTGGGAAGAACGATATGTGATTTTCAACAGGCTGTTGGCACAGTTAGTCGGGTGCTGGATGTGCTTTCTAGAAGTGGTAGGTTGTATTCCTACAAGGCCTGTTTAAGGGGGGACTACGGCTGCTCGTCGTGAAAGAGTACAGGAGGAATTATTGAGGGTTTCCCACGAAGGTTTTCCCTCAATACATGGTCTTTGGATCATAGTGAATGCGTTCTTACCTATTCGACCCGATGTAACTAGCGTGAGGTACCGGATAGGCTTTGCTGGAGAATGGAGGAACTTGTATTCTAGATGTCCTCCATGCGTGTCACGTCCATTAGATGGAGCGTGTAAGCCTGGCACGATAAATATAATCATCATCATGATCTATTGCAGTTTGCCTAAGCAGCTGCGGGGTTCTAGTCGTCATAGTAACACAATTGCCTGGGAACGGATGAAGATTTTGATTCGTTTTTTTATTCTATTGTCAATCTAGTTAACCTCACAACTGTAAGGTCTCTTGTCGGCCAGCAAAGTCCACAGAAACTATCCGACGTGCCGACACTTTTAAATAATCCCGACATGTTATAATTGGGCCATGGCCTACCTGCCATGCACCCCGAACTATCGAAAGAAGTCAAAAGTACTCCCCCACTAAGACTTTTATTTTGAATTACAGCCAATAGATAATTATCTATATTAAAAGGAAAGCTATCCATCACCTAGACCAATATTCTTTCAATTTGAGCCATAGCCAATATAGGTTAAGGCTTGAGGGCTAGAGTTCTGGCTTGAGCCGTCGTTATATTTCTGTGAAGAAACAGGCATCATGAAGCCATTTACTAAATGCTATGGCTCCTTCAGGAGAGCCTAGAATCTAGCGAATTCCCGTCGTTGGGTGTTTATTTCCGCTGCAATGGCGGGACTGACTTCGATTGAGTCGACAAAACAAGAAGTGCTCGGGAGATTTTTCTAGCCCGCAAGCG